GCTCATTGAACTGTAATTAATATACAGAAGTTATTAATAACAGTAGTTTGTAAACTATATACACATATATACACTGCATATTCATCAAGTATATGAGTATGTTCACGCACATGCTTTATGTATATGGAAACATAATTATATAATCAGTTTATGAACAAGAGTATAAAAGAAAATTTTAGTTGGCGCTTAAATTATAACACAACACCCTTTTAAATAAAAGTGTGAAACAAAATATTTTAGCAAAACAGATGTTTTCGCTCATTTAGTAACATATTAGTAACAGTAAACTGTCTGATAGATATAAAAGCAAATTTTAACGTTTCATTTATTTATAAACTTCCTTTAATATTATATGAACAAAATGTGTGTATTTTTTTTTATACTACAAAAATTATATTTGTATGTATTGTGTCACATTAGAAGAGATAAGAATTTCATAAATAGCACATCAAAGAGTCTATATTATCCAAATGATCCTTCATTTCCCAAATTACTTTAAAAGTAAATTTAATAATTATTTTTATATAGAATTCAACCGTTGGTTTTTTTGTAATGCAGTCGAATTTTATATCTTTGATTTTTTGTTAAAAATCTTTTAGTGTTTTGACCAATTTTTAGATAACAGTGTATGGTTTGGAAGATAAATAGATTTACAAATTCTCATTCGAATATGATTGAGCAGATTTTCGCTTGTGAGGTTGCTTAAAGGTACTTTCGAAATTGATCTTATTAAAAGATGTATTTTATTTATGAGAAATTGAATCCAACTTTGATATGGAAATTTATCTCAGTTTATATCTGATTATATCATATAGTGGTAATTCATTCCAATCTGTGCAAGTCTATTAATTATTATATTTTTGAAATAATTATTTATTTCCTATATTTTTATATAAGGAAAGGTGCAAGTTTCTTTAAACAAAGGCAATTAAGTAATTTTAAAGGTTTTTATTTACAATGTTTTTATTTTAAAGCAAAATGCTGCTCTTTATAAAATAATTTAAAGTGAAAAAAGCAAAAAACAATCAACAAAGAAAAGAAATTGTCAGATGAAGTTAGTTAGAACGAGAAAAAAAATCATTTTAAAATTATGAGAAAATCATCCTTCTAAAATGCCATGAAAATGCAACATATTCTAACAAGTTTGTTTCTACAAATTGAAAACCTTAAAAATTCTTACATACCTTCTACAAGTGTACCGTTTTTCGGTGCTAGCAATGCCAGGTACTAATTTAACCTTATTAATTTGACCATAGCGGGTCAAATGACCGATTCTAAACTTTTTGTCAGAATTTCTTGTATCATTTTTATGTTTTTTTAAATTTAATAAATATAAACTATTATGAATTTTGTACTTAATTGGCCTAATGGATATTTTTCCCACTAGACATAATAAGACATATACTATAACATTTTAAATACTGGCCATTTGACCCGCTTCCGGTAAGAATAGGCGAATGTATCGATAGCCTAAGTGTTAATTGTCAAAATTAAAATTTTATTTTGTTCTCAAAACTATAAAACCAAATAATAATTCTGAATATAATTTAAATTGATTACTAACTCTAAATTAGGCTAATGCAAAACAAATTTGCTTTTGCTGAATAAAAATAAATTAAAATAGTATAGCTTTCGCTTTCTAATTAAAAATAAATTCATTATTTTTTTTCTATAAACTATATGTATATGCAATAAAATAAAAAGTAATTGTTAGTACTTTGAACTTAATTAATTCAAGAAAAATGCATTGCGCCATTATACGACCTTTCCCCCAATAATACTCTTTCCGCCGGCTCTTCATTATTTTCATCTCTTTCGTTTCACATGTAAACACTCATATTTACAATCATTTTTTTTTGTTTTCTGAATTTATACTTGTTGACATCTTTTCTTTTCCTATATACCTATACTCAAGTATAATACTTGTATACAAGTATACAAGTGTACAAGTATTTTTTTTTTACAAAACTTAACATCTTTTAACTTTAAATTGAAAACAGTAAACAAATAAAACGCACGCGATAAAATTTCCACAATTAATTAATTTGCGATTTATGCGTTCATTGGCAGATTAATACTATCACAATAATAAAAAAAATTTACATACGTAATACTTAACATACAAATGTACAAATATGTGAAAATAAAAATGAAGAATACATATTATAAAATATTAAATTTATAAATTCAATATATTATTTTTAAAAAAAATTTGCCCTGAATAAGTTTAATCAACCTAAATTAGAAAATTAAAATTTTTAGATCTATAAAGCCAAATGTATATAATAAATATTAGTTTAAAAATTTGTAAGATTAGACAGAATATGTATGTACATAAGAGTATATAGTTGCTTATACCTTATGTAACGATTCCAAATATTAATAAATTAAATGAATCATTATTGTTTTATTAATAAATGTAGGAATTTAATATTAATTTAAAGAAGAGATTATCTTGCAAAAATTGGAACAAAAAATTAACGAAGAACTTACAATTGTCTGCCGATTCACTATATGAATTAAAAATTCTGTCTAACGTAACTGTAAAATCCATTATTACAAACATGAAGGATTTTTATAAGTAGAAAAGATTACCTATAGTCTCTCTATTTTCATATTATTTAACTTAAAATTAAACACACTCAAAATATATTTTGCAAACAATTCGGTAAAGTAACAATGTATGGCCTATAATAAAATTCAAAAATTTCTACAGAATCCCGTAGGAAAAGCTTATTTGGAATAAGTTGTTTGAAATTTCACACAACACAAATTTTTGATCTGAATAAATAAATAAATATGAATTTTTTTAACCCGGATCAAGATTTTCAATGGGCTTGGCAATGATTAATTAAAATTTATTTTAAATTTTTAGTTTAATTAATGCTGAAAATATGAAATTAACTTTTACAAAAAACCAAAAAATAACAAATAGTGGAAGAAGTAACAATCAAAAAAATTTTAAAAAATAAATTTTGGTGCCCTCTTTGCATTTTTTATTTCATAATTATTATTTACTTAGTAAAAAAATAAATGTTAAAATTCATTTTTAATTATTTTATTAATTATTATTAAACATATAATTAAACATTTTCATTTAGAATCAGTCATTAATAAATACCTAATAAATTACTTTAAAAAAACTAAATTTTTATCTTAAAATTAATGAAAATTAATAAGTTTGAGAATTTCAACTTATAAATCGATCTATAGTTTGAATACCTCTGATACTTTCAAAAACAGATACTTAATATATATTTCATAATGAATTGAAATTACAAAAATATATTGACATTCATATAGCAATGTGTTAAGAAATTTACTTTGATGCCTGAATCATCGGGTCCTTCCACATGTAAATAAGAATAATATAAAATTTAAATGAAATTGTAACTGATACTTTTTTATCGGATAAATTAATTATTAAGCATTTCTCTAAGAAAATTCATATTTCTTTTTTGTTTTGGTTTTCATATCTGCAAATATGATTCGGTTTTAGTCTGGAAAAAATGTACATATTAGGTACTTTTTTTTATCTTTGTTCACAGTACTTAGAAATAAAGATGATTTTTCGATCATTAAATATGTTTCCATGTGACTAGATCATGATACACCACATCAAAGTTAAATAGAATTGTAACTACATATATTTATTTAATAAAGATTTATTAAGATTGGATTACCAGACAATTTAGTCAAAAATTAATTGCAAATCTCTAAAAAAATTTATAATTAATTTGAAAATTATTCAAGAACAAGTAGAATTATAAATTCCATTTTAAAATTAAAATCTGAAACAGATAAAACATTTTTTACCATAAATAAAAATTCAATTATCAAACAATTATTTCTTAGGGTAATTTTAGAGCAATTGAAAACAGTTAGTCATAAATCGAGTTCAATTGATGAAAAATTTGCCATTTTTGGAAAAACTTTACCATTTTATTTTGATTTCATTATAACTAATAAAAAAATTTTAAATTTTAATTTAATTTTATTTTTGATTTGGTTTTGAATTAAAAGTCATAGTACTCAAATAAAATTATTTATTATTTATGACAATTAAAAAAAAAATTTTAAATTATGGAATATGTTTGACATATCGAAATAAAATTATTATTATTAATATTTTTCAATTATCAATTAATTGATAATCAAATCTTATTCAAAATATCAGTGTGTGTATAGTGGAAAATTCCTTTTTAAAAGAGCACGAATACTCTATTTATGTATACGATAAGAACTCCTATAATATTATTTATTTATTTCCTGTAATTACAATTTAATTTCCTTAATATTTTCCATTTACATTATAGTATTACATATGTACATTCATATATACATATGTATGTACTCATATTTAAGGTTCTTATAATTTCAAGAATTTAAATTATATTTTTAAGAATCGATGGTAATTGCAAACTAAACTTTTTAAATCCAATTTCAATCTTTCAAATTTAATGTTGTTTAAATGTACATCTTTATATATGTGTGTATATAAATAATAATTATATAAATATTAAATACTTAAATTATAACATTTAATATTTTATTAAATAAATTTGTATATATAATAATTTAAAAATATATTATTTGTGATAACAAAATAATACTGCCAAATAAGTATTGTACATATACCAAATATAAAATATTATTATTTTAAATTTATATTTTGAATGAATGAAAAGGTCAAAAATAAATCAAAAAAAAAAAAACAAAATTTATTACACGTAGAAATGTATGTAATTATACTCATATTAATTTCATTAACAAAACAAAAAACAACATAGATTAATTTTTTAAGGATACAAAAGTAATTGAAAATATTACAAAATATAATAAAAAAAATGAAATATTACGTATAATACTCGTATATGTACATATCTACATATATATTTTCTTACTATATTGTAGTTGTACAATAATAAATTGGAAATTTTTGAGAAAAAAGGAAAAAAAAGAACACTTGTTGCTATCAGAATAATACTAATGGTATTTACCTTATTTTGAAATTTGATTCCTTCTTGTGTTATTAAATAAAATTAATGGAAATTTTCTTCTAAAAAAAAAGACTAAAGCACTTTTTCAATATTCAAATTTAATTCTAAAAGAATTAAATTTTCTAATATTAAAAATATTAGAAAAATTAAAGATAAAAAATTTCCCGCTAAAACGAGAATTTCTTTCTTTTTGTTTTAACACCTCACTTAAATCTTCCTGTAATTTACTCTATTTATTTTTAAATTTAATATATGTAATTATGTATGCCACATTTAATAAAATTTTAATTACAAAATTTCTTTTCACAAATTATTTATTAATTTCTGAATTATTCAAATTTATAAAATCGCAATTATATTATTTGTAAATTAATTTTTATTTGTTATTAATTCAATTTTTATTATATTTTAAATCTGGTAAAATAACAATTTGTATATTAAAATAATTAAAATTTTTTTAAATATACCAATTTTTGGAATTTTAGAATTTAAACTAATTTATATTGACAATTTATTTTATGTATACAATGATTTTTTTTTTTAATATTTTTGAATTCTTATAATTCCAATCACTATATAGCAAATATTTTATTTTTTATTTTCAAGAAAAGGTTAAAAAAATCTCAAGAAAAGACAAAAGTAATAAACTAATAACGAAAACCGTCGCTTAGTGATAAAAAAAAATACAAAATAACGTTAAAAAAGCTTCAAGCTTTTTCTGTTTGTTTTTTTTTTGTTATTTTCTACTTTCCTTATTTAATATATAAAATTTGTTATTTTTATTTTCTCATTATAAATTTAATTTAATTTAATTTTAAAGAATTAATAAAAAAAAAATGAAAGATAGTTTTATGATATTATTTTTTTTTTATATTTATTTATTTATTTTATTTTTTTTATTTAATTAAAATATCGGCAACGCGAATGATAAGCAACCACGAACGTACGTCACTGCTGCTGAGTAAATACATACTAAAATTAATGAAACACACCGAAACTGATTTTAACTGTGACTGTGAAAAAATAATTTTTTTATTTTCTACTTAAACAAAACTTTGTGTGCTGTGAAAAGTTTTTATATTTTTCTGATTCTTTTTTTTTTCTCATGTTGTTGTTGTTTTCTTTATATTTTGTTGTTTTGTTTTTGTTGAACAGAAGGAAAATGTTTCTATGATTATGTATCTTCATTCACAGTTTCTTGATAATATTATTGTACCAGTAAATATTATAATAATACTGTCTAATATATACTGTTATAACAGTATTCTAAACTGTGTATAATTTAACTTGGTACAATATAATATTATATTTTTATTTCTTATAACTTTGATAGTAATAATAATAAATGTTGAGCAACATTCTGTTGTGTTGTGTTATTATGTTGTGGAAAATGTTAATATAAAGAATTTTAATTTTGTAATGCGTTTTTATATAGGCATACATACACTCATAAATGTTCCTTTTTGATTAAGTGTAAAAGAAATGTTTCTATAAGGATAATTCAAATTTGTTGAAATGATAACTATGTATGTATATATGTATTAATTTTAATTTAAAATTAAAAGGAACAATTTCTTATACGTACATAAACAAAATCTGAAATGTTTATATACATACATCATTTTTGTACATATTCATACATTATAATGAGTAAAATTAACGAGATGGTTTAAAATAATTTTATGTATCTTATTTAATACGTGGAAATATACAAAAAGTTAAATCTGTTTGACATATTATAGGATTGTTTCATACTATGGAAAGCCCAAATTTAGTATAATTAATTTGAAAATTTTTTTATTAAATACTGAAATTTCGACTGGTATTTAAGTTATGAAGAACAAATTTAGATATTTCAATAATTCATCGAAATATAGTAATCAAAACTTCAATGTCAGTACATTTCTTTAGTAACTACAGATAGACAACATTTGACTTCTACTACTACTAAGTATATAGGAGCTCTTTTAATAAAATGCATAATAGAATTTACTATCATATATGAAATTAATTCTTTTAAAAGAATAAAATTTATATAAAAATTTAATAATTTTCGTAAATATTCGTCACATGTGTTATCACTAAAATTAAAATTATTTAATTTAAAAAAAAAAAAACGGATAAATAAAAATTAGTAGAACAAGTATAAGAGATATTCCATTAGAAAACTTAAGTTCTTCAACTTATTTTTCAATTATTAAATTCCGTCATACATTTTTTATTGAAATTTAAAACTAATCTCAACCTTCTCATTTTTGAATGGAGTTTTATTTGAATTGCACATAACCGACCGCATCGTATAATTTCAAATTATTTACGAATTTTAGTAAATTTATTTACATAAAATTTCAAAAACTGTTCTAATGGCATTTTCAAAAATTGTTTGTTTGAAGTTTCTATCTATTTCGGAAAGGAAGTTATTAGCAAAAAAAAACTTAGAAATGTTAAAATGAAAACTTGCCAAATTTTCCTAAAATCCCTGTAGCTCGGAAACGGTCCCAATTTAATAACTATGTTTCTTTGAATATGGCTCTTAACTTTTTCCTGCATTTTGTGTATATCGTTAAGTATTACTGAGACTTAAGTAATTTTTAATACTTATACTTGTATGTATATATTTTTGTAGAATAATTCAAGTATAATAAACAAATGTATACATGTAAGCCAAATATTAAGAAAAAAATTTACAAAAACATATAATGTAATTTGACCAAATACAATTTTTCATCGTACATAATTACAACATCAAAACAAATTTATTATAATGATATCATGTTTCAAATAATTAAAATTGTTTTAAATAAATTACGTTAGCAATTTTATTAATATTTTCCCATTATTAATTATTATTATAGACCATCAAATTATTGTAACATAAATCTAATATATGTATACAATAAGTACATAACATAAGATTATGTAAAATCATAAATAAAAGACGTATAAAATTACTTGTATAGGTGAAACATTAGAAAAAAACATAAAAATTTTATAAAAATATATGGCACGTGCAACATAAATTTTAAATTTTTTGTTTTATATTTTTACTCTTAACTGCAAAAATATTTAAATATATTTTGTTTTGGTTCGTATATATAGTTTATTAAATGTATGTGTTTGTACACAGTATATATATATACATGCACACATATTAGAATTTTAAAACTTACATACTCTTGTATTATTGTACAATTACTATTAATATATATATATGTATGGTGCATTATATATAGATAAAATATGTAATTTAAATTGAAATTCGTAAATTAAATGGTACAAACAACACAATAATAATTGTATATACTTAAAATTTGACACTATTTTATAGGTAATTCAAATAAGCTCTAATTAATTTTCTACATCAAAATAACAATTACATATTTTATGATATTATCATTTAAAAAAAACAAATCTAAAACATGATATTGCATTTTATACATTAAAATATTACGCACATTAAATGTAATTTCCGATAAAGGCGCCAAGCTTATATACATATTTATGTATGTATGCATGTTTATCAACTTTAAATAAATTAACATTGCATACCTCTAATTATAATACAACATTTATAGATATCATAGAAGCCTATATAATGTACATGTACAAAATATTTAAATATAACACTTAATTATATTTTTTTTTGAAAACATTTAATAAAATGCTCTTAAATTATACCGCCAATTTGAAAACAAAAAAAAAAGAAAAACAGAAAAATTATATATTTTTTTTTTTATTCTTTGCATCAAGTCATTTCTTTTTTATCAAATTATATTTACTTGCAATAAAAATAAAATCAAACAGAAATATAAACAAAACAACAAAAAAAAAACTATATGGATAAAGAAAATGTCGCAAATCAACTTTTACTGAATCATCAATATTTGCATTTCGACAATATGCATTTCTTTCTGATAAATACCGCCACAATGATATTTACTTAAATATCATATACCTAAAACATATGCAATCATACGAATATTTTATGTACATATATATGCAGTCGATAGTCTATATACTCATATTAAGTATGTGTATATAGATGTTATATAGATGTTAAGTACTTTGGAAACTGTGATTTATAAAAATTTTCCTATACAATATACATACAATATACACTACACGCTTTCATATACAAAAAAAAATTAATAGTAATCAAAGTGAAATAAGATAAAAGACTGAGCATTAAAAAGCTTTCCTTTATTTTCACTTTACATTACGAGTACATAAACGAGTACATACTATAAAAAATTATATTTTAGCAACAAAGCGGAAATACCATTTATTTATTGAATGATTCGTTTTAAGTTATGAGTATACATGTAACACACGCTAATTTATAAATATTTCAAAAAAACTATAGAAAACTCGAAAATGATATTTTATAAAAGTTTGAACAAAATGGTACTTTATTATAGTCAGGCAAACCTAAAATAAAACAAAAAAACGAGGATGGGACAATACTAAATTTGCTGTATTTTTGCTTTACCAGCACTTCATGAGCAAATTAAGAAATAAAAATATTTAAAGTTGTTATGAAGCTAAGTTGTTATGAAATAAACCTAACTATAATTAATTTTACGAAGTTGTCGATAACCCGATATTTACCATATCGGGATTAACAAATTTCTTGATATCGAGTTTTGACTAATTTCCACATGATTTTTTTATCTTAATAATACTAATCGTCATTTTTAATAATTTTCAATCAAGATTTTATTATTTCTTATCATAACTCGCAAATGACGCATGCTTCAACCACTATTGGTTCGGTATATTTTTAAACATATGTAAGTGTGAATTAAACATAACATAATGATGGAGACACAGTGTTGTATTGACTTAGACTCCCTTTAGATATAATTTTTATATTGGAATAACAAGAATGTATTTATTTATAAAATAAGAAAAAAGTAGATGTTCTATCGCTTCTATATATATAAATATTAATAGATGTATATATATATGTTTAAGATATGCACATATAAAAGTCTATGAATAAGAATTTTATATGAAATGCAATTTAATTTTATTTCATTTTAGAAGAATTTATTAAATTTAAATTTTTTTTGAAAAAAATATTCTAATTTTTCTTATATTAATGCTTTCCAAATATTATAATAAACACTAATCATTATTAATTTATGTATTTAATTAAAAACTAACTGTTATGTACTAAAAATTTAAAAGCTTTTGCATTTAAAAGTACTAAAATAATATAAACAGCAAATGTTTGCCAAAATGTTGCCGAAAAAACATAAAGTTGACAGCATTTTTTTTTAAATACATGCTGAGTAAAACGGAACATTTACTACATGCTATAAATGAATTTAATTTTTATATGTATAGAAACAAGATATAACGGTATAAATGTAAATACTCTGTTCGAAAAACTGTTAAAACAAAATATTCAATTAAGTTTTAGTACATGTTTTTTTTTCAATATTGTTATTTCTCCGAAACATAGGCAACTTCAAATTGGAAAAATTAAAACAATTATTTTTAAAGCCCAATTGATCAAGCATAAGGTTTTTTTTTTGAATAACAGTTGATAAACATTAATTAATTAAGGTCACTAAATTCTATTTTTAAATAAAATTTTTCAAATAAAATTTTAATTTTCAGTTAAGGCTCTTCCATAATAACATCCATAATAAAGAATAGAAATTTTTTTATCTACATATTTTTACATATAAATACACAAATCATGCAATATAATATACATGTTTGAGGTGATATTATATTTTCGCCAAAATGTATGCAAATTTAATATTTAGTTAAGACAAAACCCTAAAACTTTTAACATTATTTTTATTTACGGGTGCATTCAATATAGTACATGCTACATACATATGCAATAAATATAGTGTTTCTTGTTATTGCTTTATAATACTATACAGCATCACATTGTCATTTATTTAAACAATTATAAAAGTATGTGTATGGTCCTTATTACAAATGTAATTATTTCGAAACCTCAAATATTTTTAAATCTCACAATATTTTAAATTTATTTGAATATTGCAACCAATATTTTTCGAAATTCTAGGTCAGTTTTGACACCTGTTGGATACCATAACATACTTTATGTAGGTATACATAAATGCATATATGCATAAACATATTATCAAATCAATAATGGTTGCTATAGTTGCTTTTGGTATAAACAAATGTTTTTATATTGTCCTCGTACATAAAAATTAAAAATAATTTGCTTTTATTGGCTTTCTTTAAAAATATGCAAAAATATATAAATAAAATTTAATTTTTGTTAATTTAATTTTAAATATTTAGAAAAAAAACAAAGAAAAATAATGTCACTTTTTAAAGTTTGTACATGGTGGAAAACTCAGTGCACAGATGTTGAAGAAAATTATGATTCAGCATCATTATTATGTTGTCGTTTTGGATTAATTGATAACGAAAAAGATTTTATTATTGTTGGTTCACATAATGGTAATTTAAGTATATTTTATCCAGAAACTACCTATGAAACACTAGGTGAATTTAAACCAACTGATTTAATACTTGAAACGAAATTCGATAATCCTGTTATTGGTTTATTATATGGAAAATTTTCAGGGTGAGTATTTAATATACAAATAATTTTTAGAGTTTTCAATTTGTTAATAGATCTTAAATAACAAAAATTTTTATAATGATTTTAGATCACAACGAAACGAAAACACAAATCAATTAGGTGTTTTACATTTATCAAAACTTTCAATATATACTTTATTAAAAATGGATGGTGTTACAGATCAAGGAAATTCATATCGTCTACAACCAGTCACAGAACATAAATTTAAAATTCCAGCTTTTTCTGCATGTAAAGGAGCATTCGGAAAAATTCAAGGAAGAGATTTCAGTAATTATAACATAAAAAGATCATATTCTAAATTTTTGAATTCAAACAAGAAAGTGAAACATTAAATATTACTTCACATTTTTAGTTTGCATAACACACATGGATGGTAATTTGACATTTTATGAACAAGATGGCATATCTTACAATGTTGAAATGCCAGGTTTTTCATTGCCAACAGTGATAAGATATATTCCAAGAATAGATTCTTTTGTAAGAGTTAATTTTTCATGGGAATTGGAATGTTTCAGGTATACAATGTTACTTTTTCCCAATTATATCCTGTCAACTAAAAGAAAATGTAATTAACTTCAGTTATCAAAACTTATCTCAATATAATTCTTCTAATAATGAAATTAAGCCATCTTGGTCTATTTGTCTGGGGGAATTCATTCTTGATGTTACACAAGTGCAAGTCACTAAGTAAAACTTTACAAATTTACATTTTAAAAAAATTATAAATAATAAAGTTCTGTTGTTCTTTTTTTAGCGATAAGGCTGTTATAATGATTCTTGGGGAACATAATCTAATAAGTGTAAGTGATGAAGGCCGTTTACAATTTATCCTTAAATTAGATTATGCTCCAAAATGTTTTTGTTCATTTGTTGTTGGATGGTATTGGGGTAAGTTTTAATAATGTCTTTTGCGTATATTACATATATTTGAATTGATATTTATTTCTATATTTTTAGAACCAAATGCCAATTTAATAACAGCTGTTATTTCAGACAGTTCAACTTTATTAATTTATAATGATATGAAATTAATTTGGGCATCACAATTAGAACAAATTCCAGTTGCAATTAAACGTTCAAATTGCAGTTTAGCTGGTGCAATTGTTACCCTTAGCGAAACTGGACATTTAAATATTGGATATTTAGGTTCTGAACCATTAACATTTAAAGTTCCACCATTAAATTTACAAGATATGAATTTTGAAAAAGCTCATAATGAATTACTAGAACTAGAAAAAGAAATAAAAAATGGTATCGAATTAGAAGGAATTGATAATAAAATAGAAAATACATCATCATCATCTGAATTAGAAATTGAATTTTCAATATTATCTACAGTGGAATCGTGCACATTTGAAATTTTATCTGATGATCTTAAGGATAAAAATATTTTAATGTGTGCTGGTGGAGTACGTTATAAATCTAAAGAAGATTTAGAACAATTACAAATTACATTTTTAATGTCAGATAAAATTCAAAGTTCAAATTCTTTTACAACAATTAACAATGTTACAGCTGGAACATCCGAAATGATTAATACTTATTTTTATATAACAGAAAATGTAAACATATCTACTTTAAAAGTTGAAGCATTTGTATCTTATATAAATAAACAAGTACGTATATCAATATTAAATTTAAAATAATATATAAATATTTATTTTAATTATATAAAAATTCAATATATTTAAATAGGGTATCCCAAGAGTATTACGAAAAGATGCATATCTACCATTAAATTTGTTTTATATAGAATGCTCACCTCAGAAAGATGCTGCTATTAAGTTAATTATAAGTTATGTGAAAGACACTAGATCTTCAAATCATAAGTTAACGGGAATTTTTTCTAATTTTTTTAAAAGAAAAACTGACGTTTCAAATGTTCAAGCGATTGGATTACGATTAATTCATACAGATGCCGTTGTAACTGTGGTAGCGGCTAAAAATAATCCAAATAGATTCAGGTTCTTAAAACTAATTACATGTATATTTTAAGTTCGGATTATTTTTAATATTATGTTATAATTCGTAAAACATTTTTTTTTTAATTTTGCAAGTTAACAAGTACATTCAATATTTAAATATTAATTAGTTCACATGTTGCAATTTTTATTAATTTAAAAATTTGCACAAGCCTATAAGTGCCTATACAAAATTTACATAGTATGTGCAAGCAAATATATTTTTATATATTTATTTTTTTTTTTAATTCAAAATTATAGAATACAATCGGATAACCTTGAAGCAATTCCTGCCGTGTTAGAAGCTATGATAAATTATGCTAAAAATTTAGATGCCTCTTTAATAACAGCAACTTTATCGGACGACATGCTGATGATGAAAAAGGATATTATAAAAGCTGAACGTAATAAAATTCGTAACCAATATAATCGAAAAGATATTCTAATGGCGCCATCAATACCATATGATGAAATAATCCATAGAATTGAAAATCATCATGATATTCAAAAAGCGTTAAGAAAACAAACTGTATGTTGTTGTGTGAAAAATATTCTTATTATATCAAATGAATAGCTTCATAATATCATAATATACGAATATACATACATACACGTGTTTATATTCTATGTATAACAGGATTATAATATTTTTATTTATATGTACATAAAAATCTATGACATGTGTGATACCATTAATGATTTTTAAATATTTTTCATATTATATCCTTTTTATACATGTATATATATATATATACCTAATACATATTTATAATATATATATATATATAACATATTATTTGTTAATTTTAATTTTTACTTTATGTTTTATAAATTTCTTTTTTTTTGTGTTTCCATAATTTTTTTTTTGCTATTAATTTTGCTTATTTTATTACATTTACTTTCATCATATTTTCTTACAGTTACTAATGGATGCTCTTTGGAATCAATTTAAGTTATTTCAAACGTCCTTGCAATCAAAAAGAGAAGATGAACCCATTGATGGTTTAATGATGTTGATCGAAAAAAACTACGATGATTTAGTTACTGAAGGGGATAAATTAATTTCATTGAGAAATATGGAATATGGGTAAGTTTTAATGTATGTGTGAACGCATTTGTGCATTGAAGGTTATTAAAGGAAAAGCAAAATATAAAATACAAACAAAATTAGGCAAAAAAATAATATTTTAAATATTATTTTAAAATTTAAAAAATTTTACTAAATATGTAGCAGTTTAATAAATTAATTCTTGTTAATAACTTATTTTATAAGAATATATATACATACATATATATTTAGATATTTCTAATAATTTATAATTATTTTGACTGTGTATTGAATGCATTAAATGAAAACACATGTGTTTTTGGATTAAAAGAATTCATAAATTAGTAAATTTAAATAAAAAAAAAATGAATTTTTCTCTACTTAGAGTAGAGATCTCAAACCCCCTAGTATTGTAATTAATCCGACCGACAATATCTAATGGGTGGTTGCAGTTAATGTTTCTATGAATTAAATTAGATAAAATGATAATTTGGTTTTTTAACTGTAGTACAAAAAATCAAGAAAATTTAAAGAACCAAACATGCTTGCATGCGAATTCTGATGGAAAAGTCCATACCACTTTTGTTGAAAATTTAAAAGTTTGGATAGCCTTGATCTAATGTAAAACTAAGAAGAGTAAAGAATTATATAATTTAATTTTGTCTCAATTAAATTTCTGAAACTCAAATTTTTCAAAAAAAGGAATCAGCTTCAACAGCCATTGTTATCTTCAGCATATTCTAAACAAAAGAATTAATTTGTGTAATCAAATTCAATTTTTTTATCACAATATTAGTTAATTTAGAAAATCATTTAAAGTTTTAAAAAATTCTTATGCACAAGAACGTTACGTATTCCTAATTTTATATTAAAATCTACTATTTAAAATATTGAATTACGTAACTAATAAACTATTGATACATAATAGGAAAAAATGCAATTTATCATGTGCAATTGCTTTAACTAATCTAATTACAAGCAATTTGAATATTGAAAAGAAAATAATTGACATTGTAACATCAGTTTTATCTTATCCAATAGAAGATTGGCTCGATAAGGTATGCTTATTTAAAATTATATTATATAAATAAATAATACAATTTTTAATATTAAAAAATACAGAGTTGGGAAGAGACCTTGGAGCATTCAATTACTATGTTACATCATCATCATTATTTACAATACTCAAATAAATCAACAAATAAGATTACTGATATTCCTACATTTTCGTATAATACAAAATGTTCGGGAAATTTTGAATTTGATAAATTTAAAAAACACTTTATAACACTAATTGAACGTTTACATCGTTTAGCATCTAGTAAAAATGATTCTCAATTAAATAACAAATCCATTGAAAGTTCAGTAGTTAATAAGCAGTCTAATAAAATCACAAAAAATGATTCCATAAATGCTATTACTAATATACCAGAAGATGGAGCGAGTGAAGAAATAGAAAATGACAAAAGTTCTGTTGAAATTACTGAAAATGAAGAAAAGGAAAGTAGCAGTGCTGACGAAGAAATTGACAACACTGCGAATGTAAGCGATTGGATTTATAAAGGATTACCTTCCACTGAAGTGATGATGATGGAAAATATGTCAAAATAAAATTTAATAAAATTATTTGTATGTATTTTGAAATTTTCTTTTTTAAATGAGGATTTGTAACTCATATTTTCTGATACAAAGCAAATGAAAGCTCTAATATAGAACTTTAAAGTAGGTGGAAATCTTTATACAAAGGGGCTTTAAAATTTAAAAAAAAAATTTGCTTCAAATGTTCTCATTTTATGAATAAAAATGATTTAAAACTGTCAAGAAATTCGAAATTATTGTGTAAATTATAAACTTTAAAAAAACTTTATTACCACAATTTATATGATAAAACAGGTTTCAGTTCTTTCATGCTGGCTGTTCTCGAATTTTAATTTTCAGTTTTTTATAGATAATTTTTAAAGGATTGAATAGAAAACTTTGAAAAATTTACTTAGAAATAAAACAATAGTTTACAAATACATAGCTTTATTTTTTTTCCTTTTTTTTTCTTTAATTATTTTTTTTTTATTTTTTTGTTCGATATAGTTTCCTTTTTTTATTATATTACTTACTCTTTTCAAATACTTGAAATACTGAACTTTTTTTAATAGAAGTAAGGTTTAACTTAAGAAAAAGATATTTTAAAATTTTTAAATATGTACATTATTTTCTTAAAAACTGAGTTTTATTAAAAGAATATTTTATACATTTATTAAATTTTTCTTGTTTAATTATTTATACAATAATTATTTTGCATAAAATTTATTGTATTCTTTATAACTAATAAAACTAGGACAATTTTTAATTATATTTTTTTTTTAATTACATACGTACGTATATACTAAGATAGCTTATTTACTACATATTCTTATAAATATCTTTATTTTAACTATTTCAAAACTAATTAATTAATTTTTATATTTGATATTAAATTTAATTTTAAATCATGGAGGAAATGCAAATTAGTATTAATCAAAATAATTGTAAAAAAAATCTTTTCCAGTTTTATTTTAATAATAATATAATCTACATTTATTAAGTCTAAATATTTTAAATTATTATTTTTTTTCTTTGCGTTTATAAAATTAACCAATTACCTTTTTTTTCTAATTTTCATTTTCATTATATCTTTTTTTATAACTTCAAATAATTTTATAAAATATTTATTTATTATTACTATTTCAATTACCACTATTGTTAATATTGTTGTTATTTTTATCATATTATTTGAATTATATTATTATTATTATTATTAAGAATATTATTATTATTTAATAATTATTAATTAATATTATTATTTTTTTGGATGTTATTAATGTATTAATATATAATTACATATTTTTCATAGATAAACAAGTAACAAAAATCACAATGCATTTAAATTCAGATTCTAATTTTTATTTAATTACAATAAATTTTGATTTAAACCTTTCCTTCTTTGTGTTTTTTTTAATATAATATAATTAGGTATATTTACCTAGTAAAATCCGTTTTATAAGTAATCTGACAAAACATAATATTACTAATAAAAATGTATAAATCTAATTTTAATAACGGTATGCATATATAACTTTCTAAAATCTCACTGAATTCTAATACATATTTATAAAATATCAATAGCATAAGAGTGAGAAAGATTCTAATCAAAACTCAGTGCTTATGTAACATCATGTAACATACTTTATGTTTATGTAACATAACTCAGCGTAACGCATTCAGGGTCTTTAAGTAAAAGAGAGGTTGTTGAATGAAATTAATAATATAAAAAATTTTAAATTTACGTTTTGTTAAAAATTGTTTTCGATGGAAAATTATTAAATAAAAGAAAAAAAATGACGTATTTTTAAATTACTTTGATCCTACATTATTAATGAAGTTTATAATTACTGTAATATGTTAATTGCTTGCTTATTGTGATTTCTTCAATAACTTACAGTATTGCTTAAATAATTCTATAGATGACTTGGAAGAATTTATTCCAAAAAAAAAACCTCAAATGTATTGAATAAATAATTATTGTACACTTTTGAAGTTATTTTTTTGAATCAAACTTTTTTTAATAGTTTACAAAATTAAAACACTACTGTATATTATTTCATTCATTGAAGTTCATTGTTGAAATTGTAGAGTAAATGATATTACATAAAAGAACATATTTAATATACAAAAACAGATACTATTTTTCTCATTAAAACAAAAATTTTCTTCAAATTTCTTAATGTGAAAAAGTTTTTATACATATTTTCCACATAATGTTATATATATGTACACAAAATTACTGACAAAGTAAAATTTGAGAAAAATTTTATTTAATTGTCGAAAATTTCATATATGGAATGTGTTCTTTTATATCATTGTATAGTCTACCACTAAACATGAGTATACAATATTTCATATTACATATTTCAAAAATGTTGTATTCTTGAAAGGATACTGTTTATTGATCTTTAATATCATTATTACGGATTGACATTATTTTTTTTTTCATTAACGTTCTTACTTGTTGAGATTGCTGTTGCTGTTGGGTTTGTGATTGTTGTTGTTGTTGGTGCAACTGTTGTTGCTGTTGTGAGGGTTGTTGCGATATTTGTTGACCTTGTTGAATTGGAGGTATTTGTTGTATCGTTCCTTGTTGTTGCTGTTGAGTTTGTTGTTGTGACTGCTGATCTAAGACAGAAGCAGCAGAATTAGTTTGAACTTGACTACTTCCACCTGGCTGTTGCACAGTGACGGTTACAAGAGACCCAGTCGCTGTTTGCAAGCGAACAGGACTTGCGGTTTTTGGCCCCTGTTGTGACTGTAATGCATTTATCAAGGCTTGTTGTGTTTGGACTTGATTAGCTCCAGCGACTTTAATTGTACCAGTAGCTATACCTTGATTCGCTGCATTGGCTACGTGAGCTCGAATTTGTGCAGGTGAAGCTGAAACAACCTAAAAAAAGAAAAAAATTTAAATTCTATTTTGCTTTTAGTCTTTAATATGATTTTTTAATATGTACCTGTATAGTTTGCCTCGCGTTTGGCTGTGAGGCCACTGAAACTGGAATAACGCGTCCAACACTAGTTTTCCCCATATGCAGAATAGGTCCGGTAGCGGCTATTGTTCCAGGTTGTCTACTTATCAATTGTTGAACTGTCATTGATCCTGGTAAATTTTTTTGACTTTGTACTATCAATTGCGCTGGAACTCCACCTGCTTTTGGTTGAACTTGTGCTATTTGAGTCATTTTTCCACCTTTTCTTTGTTGAGCTATTAATTGTTGCTGAAACTGCAACTGGCGAACCTGATTTTGATTTGCCATAGTAACTTTTATTTGACCTCCAGGTTTTATTTGTGACAATGCCATTCCAACTGTACCAGCAGCAGCTGTTACAGTGCCACTTGAAGTTTTCACTAGCGTGGCAATCGGTTGTTGTCCTGACGTACCTGGTTGTTGGACTTGTACATTCGCTGGTGTAAATATTTGCGTTTGTGGTATAACTTGCGTTTTTTGTTGAGCTCCAATTAATTGTCTCTTAACAAGTAACATTTCACTATCAGTTACCGGTCTTGTAACAGTTTGCTTTGTACCTGACGCCACCTGCTTTATAAATTGAGTGCGACCTTGAGTTCCACCTGCCACTTGCACTGTTGTTATTGAAGTGCCAGCTCCTGCGTTAGCACTTGCAGCAGTTACTGTCGCAACCGAAACTTTCTGTCCTTGAACCTGTACAGTTTGTGCGGGTACGATCCCTCCTTGTATTATAGCGCCTGTGGAAGCGTTGACTAAAGCCGTTTGTCCACCAGCAGTCTGAACAACCGCAGCCGTTGTTTGACCTGTTTGAGCTGGGGAAGTTTGAAGAACTTTAAGTTGCTGTCGCAATTGCTGTTGTCGATATAGCTGAATAGGAGTTGACTGACTCGTTAATTTCCCAGCTTGTTGCAAGGAAATTCCTTTAGCAACAACACCCGTAACTGGTTGGGATCCAGCCATAGACAAGCGTAATTGGGCAGCCTGAAATTGAGCCTGAGTGACTCCTTGGTTAGTAATTCCACTCATTGATACTATAGTTGGACTTTGGTTATTAGGACGTTGTTGCAAAACAACTTCTTGTATTTGACCTCCTTGCACAATTCTTTGCGCTCGTAAAGTGCCTGCATTTAAAGTAGCAACAGTGGCGTTTGGATGCAATCCGGCTGAGGTTGTAAGAACCGTTCCAACCGTAGCTAACTGTGACACTGAAACAACTTGAGGTAAACTTTGTGACGGAAGTGTCTGAACAATTGATGCGTTCTGAGCCTGTGTGATTATTGTTGATGTTGATGTACTATTTTGTGGTTGAATTGAAACTATTTGGGCTGTTTGGGAAGTTATTGGAGCTGAGACCGGAGTTGTTAACACTACAGAAACCGAAGATGGAGTTACTAAATTACCACTAGTTTGCAGTTGACCCTGAGTTTGTTGTAATTGAATCTGTTGGGCGGTTGTTTGATTAATCTGCTGCACTTGAGTGGCGCTACTGGTCATTATTCCAGATGACGGCGTCACTATAGCTTTTACAATTTGTGGCTGATGAACCTGTATACTTCCTTGTCCAGTTGATCGTGATGTTTGAATTGGTGTTGCTTGCATTATTTGTGTCACTTGTTGCAACCCTGATTGACTACCGATTTGAGGACTTTGTTGTACAACAATAGCAGTGGTCGTTTGTTGATGATGTGCCTGAGCTATGCTCGGTGGAGGTGGTTGTTCAACTTGTTGTGATTGTTGCTGAACTGTTATCTGATGCTGCGTTTGTTGCGGTTGATGTTGAAGTTGATGCTGATGTTGATGTTGATGCTGTTGCTGATGTTGATGTGCATGTTGATGAGAATGCTGATGTGGATGTGAATGTTGATGTTGTTGTGATTGTTGTTGTTGCTGCTGTTGTTGCTGTTGTTGTTGTTGTTGTTGATGTTGTTGTTGTTGTTGATGTTGTTGTTGATGTTGTTGTTGCTGTTGTTGTTGCTGTTGTTGTTGCTGTTGTTGCTGTTGTTGTTGCTGTTGTTGTTGTTGTTGTTGAATAATTTCATGTTGACTGATTGATTGCACAACAGTTGGAGGGGGTAAAGCAATAGCACCACGTTGTTTTTCTTTTAACTTCTCTGCTTTTCTTAGCGCAATATCAAGGGGATTTAATGGTAAATCATAATTTACAATGCCAAATTCCTGTAGCACTGACGCATGTTTTTGCGAATTTTTTTGACTTGGGATTCCAAAAACCTGCTTTGGAGGCGGTGCTTTTTTTAAGTACGCGGCCTTTAAATTATCAAATTTTAATTTAATAAGTTTCGTAAATGAAACGTTATTATCACTGACATAGAGCTGCGAAGTCCTAAGAGATTTCACACCCCCTTTGTTAGCTGCCTTCAAAACAGTTTTAATCTTCTTCTGTTTTTTAGGACTTTCTAACAATTTACCCTCTTCTCGTGGAACAATTACGGCCTCATATCGCCACCTACATTGTTTAGGAGAACGATATGTTCTTGAATAAAAATTGACAATTTCGGCAACTAAATCCCAATTAGGTGTATGACCCGGTGAAAGCACTAATAAATTTAATGGTAAACCTTGAATATTTTGTAAAACATGCAATATAGAAACATCTTCATAAATACACCATTCAGCCATTCCTTCTGGTTCCACTAATGGTTTTATTGGCACTGGCTGTTTCCATGATGGTATTTGTATTATTGGTTTAAATGAACCGCGATATCGTTGCAACTTTAAATCTCGTCGTATTTTAGCGATAGCTGGCGTCGGTCGATCAAATAAAGATCTCGGCGCATAATAATTATCTTCTTTTCGAATTTTATGTGGTCTGCGATTATCAACTAAGAAACCTGCATCTGAACGCGATCTTTTATAATCTTTCTTAACGTAAACCGGTGGTAAATGCGACTCCGGCATAATATCAATTTCATATAAAAATGCCAGAGCATAATCGATGTAAATGTCATTATCATCTGTTGGAGGTGTTGGAGGACACCATAGCTAGAAAGTAAATTAATCAAATAAAATTATTGGAAATACATACACATCATTTATTATTTTTGTTATATTAATGAATATTACGTATAATTTTAAAATTCATTTTATATATGTTACATAAGTATGTTATATATAAATAATGTTATTTAAATTGATATTTTTTATTTGATTGAGATAGTGAAATTTGGATTAAATCTTAACATAAAAATACTATTCTATCAAAAAACCTCTTCTCTTTGCCTCTTGTTCAGACTTAATAATCTAATATGTACCACATCGATATACATATTTTTAAGGAAAAAAAAAAAAGTGGAAAATTTTTGCAGTTTCTTTTCAAATTTTTCCATTTTTCCTTAATCACCATTCTTTTACTTTGTTTTTAAAGGTGACAAGTTCAATTGATAATTTGAGAAAAAAACACAAATCAAAATACATGATGATTAGGCGGCTATTCAAATTATATATTCATGGATATTGAATAATTTGATTACTTCAATAGTCATTTTCAATTTGTTCCTTACTAAGATAGTTAAACTCAAAGTTTTGATTTTAACTTTTTTTGGAAAATATTTAGGGAAAAATTGTTAACGAATATTTTCGACAATTGATTTACATTTCGCTTACTGCTTTTGATTTACATTTCAACTGCGTATTCGATATATTTTAGAATAGGGTACAATGTCGAACTTTCAATGTACATTTTGGACTGTAATTCATTGGAAATTTTACTTTTTAACCGCGTCAAGAAAATTCAATTATTTGTATAATATCTAAATAATCTTGCAAAAATAGTATACATATCTAACCCAAAATTAAATTTCTGATTTAAAAATAATTACTGAAATAAGGCTGACTGAAAATGTAAGTGCCGTAATTCAAATAAAACTGCATACCCTCGTTTTTAAGGCTACAAACAAATTTAAGTTTTGATATCATAAAAAAAAAATATATTTTTAAATAATGGAAATTTAGAAATATATGAAATTTTAAATTTGTGTTTAAATAATAGAAAAAGAAAACTTACCTCCATTTCATCCATAGAACTATCCAAAAACCAGAACTAAAAATAAAAAAAGACACAAAAATTCTAAATATATTATCAAAAACAAAAATTTATCAAAAAGGTGTACAAATATTGACTATTTATAATTCTTTGTCAATAAAAAAAAAACTCAAACTGTCAATTTACATATTTTAACGTTACAAAATTTTAAAACCAAATTTCTATAAAATAACAGGAAATCCTTGCAGCTGTGTTGTTCTATATTCTTGTATATAGTTTCTTTTAACTTATTGAACTTAAAGTTTATTATAGTAATAAAATACTTTTAAAAATCGTTTGGAAATGGCAAATTAAAAAGGCTGTTTTGGTGCCCAATAAAAATGTTTTAATTTTTACGAAATTAATTCTTACTAAATTATTTTTTTTTTTCGTGTAGCAAAGAGAAAAAAAACCAACTTTCTTAAATATAATTATCATGATATTACAATGGAATTGGGAAAACAAACAAATTTAATTATAAAATAATAAATAAAAAAATGATTTCGATATAAAATCCTATGCCATTACCAAACTTTATTATTATCAAAAAAAGCGAGCTAATTTTTAACAATTTTATTAAAAAAAAATTAAAAAAATCAAATCAATATTCAACATTAAAATGAATATAGTTATAAAAACACAGAAGCAAGTTTTTATTGTTCATTTATTTTTTGTTTTCATTTTTACTATTTATTGATTTTGTAATTTTCATGTTAAAATTAAAAATTAAATTATTTTTTTTTATACGAATCGCACACCAAAACAGATAAATTTTGATTTGAAAAAAAAATTTTTTGTGTCTTTTTTTTCTCTGCAATAATGAATTAAAAAATTTTAAAATGTCATTCCAAACGTTTTATATTACTATTAAAACTATACAATAAATAAAACAACACAACTATTTTTTTTTAATTCAGCAAGGAAAAATATTTTATTGTTTTTTTATTTTATTTTTATAAGTTTGTTTTTATTTTTGTTTACTTTCTTTCTTATTCTTATTAATTTTGAATTACTTTTAAGTTTCATTTAATATGTATTGTTAAATTATGATAGATAATTCTTAATATCTTTATATATTTAATTATAAATTTGTTACTCTAACTTACAAACTAAGGATTATATACTTAGCTATTTAAACGAAAAAATGTAACCAAATTTTTTACTCTAAAATGAATGTGTGGTACGTAATAGAAGGTAATAAGTATCAAAAAGAAAAAAAAAATTTATATTAAAGTAACCTGAATTATAGAAAATTTTAAATTACAAAAATGTAATTTCTTCTGAGAAAATGTTACATAATATGGTTAATTAAAAATTAAGAAAAACATTTCGAAAAATAATTTCCAAAAGAAAATATGTACACATATACATATATGTATGCAAGATTGAATATAGTTCAAAAGAATTAGAATTTGGAAAAAAATTTGTTGTTGTCAACAAATATTTCAAATCATTAATTAATTATTATTGTTGTTTCTTGATAATTTCTGTCTCATGAATATTTGAATAAAATGCAAATACAAAGAATTTGATTTGAATATTTAAATTAAATACCACATAAAGCAAACTGCCGCAAAAAAAAACTTCTTTTCTGTATTATTATATGCTTGTTTGTAGCACCAAAATTCCCCCAGCTAAATTTATAAAAATTAAAAGTCCTTTAATCAAAATCTAATCAAAAATTTCTTTTACTATTTATATATACATATGTATGTACATATATGTATGTATAAGTAAAATTGTTTTCAGAAAGAAAATTTGGTGTGTAATATAAAAATAACAAATGGAATGTGATTGAAATATAAATATTAAATCAATTTGGGAAAAAATAAGAAAAATGCTTAAATACTTAAAAAATTCAAGTATTATTTTGCAAAACAAAAATTATATGCTCTCTAATACGTATATACACATATAAATTATATACATACATAAGTTATACATAGTAAATTGTAGTTTCTATATGTTTTTAAATTACTCTATACATACTTAAAACAAAACTATTTCATTATATTTCAACAGATCTTCTTCTGATACAAGTACATAATATATATTATATGAAATATTAAACATCATGATGGTAAGATTAAATAGATAAGATTTGTTGACATATTATCTATTTGAAATCTTGTGCAATAAATATAATTTATAATAATAGATTAATTAGAAAAAATGTATTTGTAGCCAATATTTTGTTTTTTCAAATTCAGTATTTTGACTTTTGTTTAGTTTAGCATGCATAATTATGTAACAAACTATATGTATATTAAAAAAAATGTTAAGAAATTTTGATAATATTTCACGTTAATTATCATATGTATAAATATTATACGTAATCAGTAAATAAATATCTATAGTAACAGTCTATCTGTAGTATGTCATATAGTTTTATGTAATAAAATTATATAAATAATTTATTGTGTAAAACTACATACATGGCATATTATAGATATTACATTTTTACATTACTTATATCATTATATGAAATATCCATATATATATATGAGTATATATAAGTAAATACATGTATATACAAAATATAAGAACATATGTATATACAGTTATGTATACAAAGGAAGAATTTTAAAGATACATATGATGTATAACATACTTGTGCTAATATTTTAAAAAAGAAAAAATGAGAAATTATTAGAACATTGTTAGCAAGGTACAATTATAATAAGGCGTCTAAAAAAACTTTAAATAATTTTGTCTTAAACTTTTTCTTGTTTATTTTCCTTAATTCTTTTGTAATAAAATATGATTTAAACTGAAGAGAAGGGAAAGATATGATTTTTAATTTAAAAAGGAAAACTATTATAATTGTAAAAAAAAGAAACATACTTAAATGTAACGTGCTTTAACTCAGGTTGTTTTTAAATACAAGATGTTTGTGATTGAGACTAAAATTAAAATTATTCAATTTTATCATTTTTAACTGTAAATTTGCCACTGATAGACATTTTATCAATATACGTGTGCATACAAATAAAATTATAATTATAGTTTTTTTAAATGGAGAAAAACGATACTTTTCTGTCACCAAACAATTAATATTATAATAATTCATTATATTTACATAAAATATTATTCTTATTTAAATTAATACACATACACATATATCAATGTAAATATTGATATTGATTATGCACGTATATTTTACCTATCTGTTATTTTCTATTAACCACACATTTCATTTTACAAAAACTCAAATATAAATTTAAATTTAACGTATATGTATTTATATTAGGATATTAGTAATTATACATATTATACATATATATATGTATATGCTAAATATACATATTCGTCGGTCCAATATTAATTTATTCAATAGGCTATTGATTTCTCTTAATGTGGACCAAATAAATTTTGGATGTATGTATTTGTAAATTATATAAATATAAGTAACATACGTATATACGAAATAAAATGCATAACAAGAGCAAAAGTTATAATAATTAATAAATACTTAGTTATGAATAATAAAAAATATAATATTAACAATAATATGGAAATAAAAACTACAATTAAAATGTATTAAAATATGTTCATTTTGAAAAACTTGTTATTTGAACTTTAAAACTTATTCAATTTGTATAATATATTAATTTTTTACCTTCTATTTTAAATTTTATATTACAAAAAAGGAAATTTTTATATTAAATTTTTATCCTATTCAATATATATATATGTATACGTATATTATACTAAAAAAAAATTAAAAGAATTACAAACAAAAACAGAAAAAACTATTTATATTATTTGTTCAGGAAAAAACTCGATAATTAATTTGATCTGCATTAGAGAAAATGTAATAATTTACGAACGAAATTATATAAAGATTTTTTGTAATAATAATAACATTTTCTCGTTCAATCAGCATTTTCTATTTGTTAAAATTATTTCATTTTTTAATCAATTTCTAAAATAATTAAAAAAATAAAACAACTACAATCACATTCCAATTTCTTTCCCATAACAATTATATCAAGATTATTGGATTCATGTCTTTGAATTGTCAAAACTTGATTTCAAAACAGAACACCGTCTTGTCATTCTTAAATCTTTTTGATTCGGTTGTAATTGTGATTTAAATAGTTTTGGTGTGTCAATGTCAGTTAATCGATTTAATACTACTTGAGGTGTTTTTGTTAACCATTTATCTAGAGTTTGATTTTTTAAATTGTTAGAAACTGCTGTGGCGGTACTATTGTTTTGTTTTTCATTTTCATTACTACTATTACATAAATCATCTTTAATACTTTGAATTTGATTACAATCATTATTTCCCACACTGTCATTTTTATTATTACTATTTTTAAAATGTACACTTCTATTGTGTATTAACTGAGGATCACTTAAATCATTATTCGTGTCATTTATTTTTTTTTTTGGTAATGCACGAGAATTTAAATTTGAAAATTCGGCTGTAGATTTTATTTTATCATTAAAAATAATTTTCTTTTGTAAGTTTCTCGTTTTTGACTTTGATTGACAGCCACGTCCAGGTAATATAGGGCTAACATCGAGTGTCCATAAATTTATTTTAACTGAACCATGAGATCTGGTTGTACGCGGACTATTCATATCTAATTTATTTCTTTGTATAATTTTCTTTTTAGGTTTCTTCTTATTAGGTGATGATTTTATAAGTCGGCTTCTTTTAACCTCATAGTTACCACTATTATCACTTTCATCAGTCTGTTCACTTTCATCCGTTTCTATATCATTGTCGGATCTATAATTATTGGAGTTCGTAGTCGCATCGTTAGTAGTTGAATCCATCATCACGTCCAAGCTGCATTCTCCAACACTTGTATTATCACTTTCATCCTCATCATCTTCCTCTGCCTCCTCAGATTCATTTTCTTTACCAGTATAGTCATCCTCACTTCCTTCTTCACTTTCCAACACACTGGAATAATTTTTAACCGATTGATTTTCCAAATCCTCTTCGTCACCCTGACTTTCATTATTTTCGCTTTCAGTATCATCAATTTCGGCTGTGTTCTCACTATCATCACTATTAGTTTTTTCTTCATGAACTTCGTCAAGCTCTGCTTCATCACTTTCACTACTAGATTCATCAGTACTTTGCTTTTTTGGGCTTCTTTTTGATAATGGTTTAGGTTTATATTTCTTAGGTGACGGTTTACTTTTAATTACACCTGCTTTCTTAGATTTACTTGAGCTCAAATCCTTGCTTTTTTTATTTATATTAAAATCTGTTTTTAAATACTTTGATCTAGATTTTGAAATTTGTTTTTTTCTATCTAAATTAATTTTATGTTTGTTTATAATTGCTGATTTAACAGTAGATTTATTTTTATTATTACAATTTTCTCTAAATCTATTAGACCTACCAATGTTTTTTTCATTTAAATTACGAGGTTTTTTCACATTTGCGTTTCTATTTAATCTTTTAGGGCTATCTTTATTATTACTAGTGAACCTGTTTTCTTTATTTTTACTGCTAATCACTTTCTTTATTAAAGCTACTTTTTTATTCTTATTAGTTTGTGATATTGTAAATTTTTTCTTATTTAAAGTTCTTAAATTTTTATTAGTATTATTAGTTTTGTTTTTATTTTTTATATTAACCTGTTCACTAGTATCCTCTCTGCTATATGTAAGCATTACATCATTTTCAAGTTCTATTTTGCGATTTTCTTCTTCTTTAGCTAAAGCTGCTAATCTATTTGCTTCCCATTCTCGTTTCTGCTGTTCGATTTCAGCTTCCGCTGCTTGAAGTTGGGCAGCTGTCCATGCTCCACCTGTTTCTTCAACAAACTTCATAGCGTATCTCTCAATAGGACTTAACTACAAAAATTTAAACAAATCCTGAGTTACTAGTTTTAATTATCATTTACTTGTTTAAATGTCTTACGACTAGTGATATAATTCGTATAAATGCAAATAACGAACTATGTCTGATCATAATTTTATTTAGCGTCAGATTCAAATAATTTTATTGTATTTATTAAACAACAAATTATATATCATAATCAAACGCTTACAGTAAAATTACGCTTAAGATATAAACGCTTTAGTTAAAAATAACAAAATTTACCTGCGATACCAAATTTTCTAGTTCTTGATCAGCTTTACTCATTTCTGGTTTTTCTGTACAGTTGTCATCTAATTGAATATTTTCATCAAACTCAGCCAAATCTGCTGCAGCTTCATCCTTCGCTGTCTTTGCTGCTTCAACATCTTGTTCATCTTCAGCAGCAGCTAACGCACTTTCAAATGCACCCAATGTAGATTTATCTTCATTTCCAGTACTTACAGTTCCCCCATTTCCACTGTTTACTATTATATTACTACCGCTAATAGATGCAGTCTCAACCACAGATTTATTTTTTCTTTCAAGAATTTCTGCCAAACGAGTCGACGCATCTTCTTCCTGTTCAACGTGGAATAGATCCTGTATGGTAGATGTCTTGAAATAAGCTGTTGTAAAGTTCCCACCTTCAATAGCTAAATCACCTAACATTCGTTTTTGATTAGCTTTCTTTAATATATTTTCTTCAATAGTTTTTTCGCTGACCAGTCTATATATGTGGACATCCCTTGTCTGGCCTATACGATGACAGCGATCTTGTGCTTGGGCATCCATTGTAGGATTCCAATCTGAGTCATAGAATATCACAGTATCCGCTCCGGTCAAATTGACGCCTACTCCCCCTGACCGCGTAGATAATATAAAAACAAAAATTCTTTTATCACCGTTGAACCGTTCCATTAGTATTTGTCTTTGTTCTATTTTCGTCGTTCCATCCAAACGCAAATATATATGCCCGTGGTAATTAAGAAAAGCTTCTAAAACATCTAACATCTTTGTCATTTGAGTAAATATCAACACGCGATGTCCTTCTGTTTTCAATTTCCTTAATAAATGATTTAAAGTTTGCAATTTTCCACAGTCGTATTGTATTAGCCGAGGATCTGGAAATTGGGTGCATTGTGCCGACATTATTGGATGTAATAAATTTAGTTTTGGGGATATTTCTTTAATCAAAGTTAATTCCATATTTTTCTCTGCATTGAATTGTGATGGACTTAAATGTTGAACTATCAAATGAGGTCTGGGTGCTGCTACTGCGGGAACATATATTACAAAATTTTCAAACATCTTCCTCATTTCATCTGTTCGTTCAACATAGGTTTTCAAAATTTTTGTTAAAGACCAATTACCACGTGCTTGACTTGTTAATGCACAATTTGTAAAACTGCGTGATAACCATGTTGAATATTCAGGCGATTGACAAGGCAAACATACTTTACAAATGGAGTTTCGACAGTCTTCGCCATATAAAGGAATACTTTCACATCGCCTTTGATTGCAACGAGCCATTAAAAATAAAGAAGTTGATCTAAATTCTTTTCTTGTTTGCTCAATTTCGTTCATAGCAAATTCAGGGTCTTTTTTTATATCATCTTCCACTGTTTCTTTCACAGTTTCTACTTTAACTGTGGGTTCAATTTTAACTGAAGGTGTTGATGCTACTTTATTACTATTACTAATATTTTCACTACTTGATGTACTTTGAATTTGTTGCGCCAGCGCTTGAACTAAACTTTGATCACTTTCACTTTTAACAACCTTGCTAGGATACACATATTGATTTTGAATTCTATTTGGAACAGATTTCGTTGAGGTGGCATTTATGTTTGACTTCCCAACTACTGTAATTCTTTGACCGCCAGATAGTATTGGCCCAACATTACTGCTGGGTGTTAGAACTATATGACGCCCAGCACTTGTTTGAATTATTTGTGTATATTGCGGGACTGCACTAGATATACTAATATTATTACTACTATTGTTATTTGAATGGCTTACATGAAAATTAACATTATGCTTTGTATTAATATTACTAAGAGTATTCGCAGATATTGATACTATTTGCCCTCTATTTATTGATGCTACCGCATTGCTAGGTCCTGCTGAAACTAACGAAGCATTGGGTTTGTGATACTGAGACCAGTCGTTTTGTATATTCGCCAATATTGGGATGCGTACATTTTGATTAGTGACAATAGATTTATGATTCAGTTTAACCCCTGACGCATTGCGTATTGGAACTAATCTATTGCCTTCAGTCTTCATAGCTGGACTCGTGCCAACCGCAACTCCTGAACTATAACTACTACTACTACTATTATGATGATTAACTAAGTTTTCTTGAACACTGGCACTTTTAACACGTATATGAAATCTATATTTCCCTGAAGGACATTTTGGTGGGGGTGGTGGTAATGAGTCAATTTCTTCAATTAATTTTTTTGGTGCTTGTAATTTTCGTACTTTATACGAAACATACGCTGTTAAGCATAATTCCAATTGTAGCAATATAAGATTTAACGAACTTAAATCAATGTGCTTAAATGGATCATATTCAAACATGTTACATGCTAACGTTGGCATACGAAGAATAATTGCTTCCATTTGAAATGGTGATATAGTTGGCCGTACTTCAAAAAGATTCGGATGATTACAAACTTTTCTTAATTGCATTAAAACGTTAATGACACTTAAAAGATTGCCTGATGCAAGAGTTTCCCTCGTTTTGGCACGACTCATAAAATCATCGTATAAATAACGTTGCCTTTTGGATAAGCGACACATTATAACATGCTCATATTTCCTAGGCATCTGTTTCTCAACTTCTGATTTCAATCGGCGCAGAAGGAACGGTCTTAATACCTAAAATATTTGAATGAGATATAAATATAAATCTTGAAAAATTATGCCAACATTTTATTTATAGTATTAATTAAATTTTATGGGCACAATTTACGAATATTTTTCCGAATTTCAATAACTTTTAAATGTTTAAAATTAATTGCACATATATTAATATCTATTAATTTTATGTATCTAATTTGTTTATGAAAAACTTAATATAATGTCAGCAAGACAATAAATATTGTTAGTAAAATTGTACATAATATCAACATAAATAAATATAATAAAGGCTAAATGAGTAAATAGTATGCCTATACTATTTATATAAACCTCAGCATAGATATTATAAACTTTTTTACTGAGATTCTTGCAAAGACAATATTAGTAAAATCGTATTATTAAAATTGTATTTTAATATCTAAAAATTTATAAGAGATATGTAATATTGTCCAAGAGAGCAAATGCATAAAAATACTATACTTTAATACAACAAGAATTTCAAAATAATGTGATCAAATTAGAGGTAATTTAAAAAACATTGATAGAAAAGGAAAAAAAAAATCAAATCATTACTTATTACGTACAGGGTACAGACCTTATGCAGACGTTTTATAATAGATTCATTGTATTCCGAATTCCCTTCTATCATTCCTGTCATCGGATTTGAAAACCATTCCTTAAATTCCCTATGTGAGGAAAAAACATGCGGCATTAAAAAATGCATCAGGGACCACAGTTCCATTAAATTATTCTGAAGTGGTGTACCAGTTAATAATAGCCTCCTAAAATAATTAATCCACAGTAAGTGGTTGCAATTATTCATTCCATTACAAACAAACTTACTGTTCTGTTGAATAATTTAACAACAACTGCCATCTTTGCGATTTAAAATTTTTTATGTTCTGCGCCTCATCTAAGATCAAATATTTCCATTTCTTTCGTCTAAAACTCTGCTGATCTTGTGTGACCAATTTATATGATGTTATGCAAACATGGAAAGCATTTGGTTTTGTCCATCCAACACGCTTAAGTTTACGTTCTTTGTGTGACCCATAGTACGTTAAAATTTTAAAGCTAGGACACCATTTTTTGAATTCCATTTCCCAATTCAACATAACTGATGATGGTACTACAATTAAATGTGGTCCCCAATTACCTTTTACACAAGCCAAGTGGGCTAGAAGAGCAATTGTTTGTATTGTTTTACCCAAACCCATTTCATCAGCTAAAATTCCATTTAATTTTCGATCGTGCATCGTTACTAACCAATCAAGCCCAATATGCTGATATATAAATATAAATTTATATTCTTTAAATACATTAAATAAAAAAATTAACCTACCTGATATTCTCTTAATGTATGTTTTAATAAAAAAGGAATTGGTGTTACAACATTAGTTGAAGACAACGTATTTCCCTTGGGTTGTATGCTTTCAGCTATAGCCGCGGCATCATTAATTAAACTATCCTTATTTGTCGAATCCTAAAAAAATAAGTAAATATCATCTTTAATAAAATAAAATAAGTCAAATTAATTTTTAAAATTTTCTAAAACTAAATTTAAAATTTCTTTCTAACGTAGCTGTTCCTAATTTTTAAGTTTCGCGATTAAATTCAGAATATATATTTAGAACATAATGTTTCCAAACCTCTAGTATGAGCAGGTAGATAATAAAAACTAATCTTCATATGGTAGTATTGGAATTTTTATTCCACCAAGTACATCAAACAAAAAAGAACATAATTTTATTCAATTTGTCTGTTAAAAGTGGACTTCTACAAATATATTTATAAAATTTTATCCATCTTTCATGTACAGAATTTTTTATATTCAAAATTTCACAGTAAAATTTTAATAATTGAAAAATTAAATTCTGAATTTAATATATGCACCCAAGCGTAATTTTTGCGCAGTTAACATGGTTACAAAAATTGATTTCAGTGCAATCTAAACCCGTTTTTTCTAAATTTACTTACATCTTTATTTTCATCATCCAATAAGCTTTTTAGACCAACTTTTGAGTCTTCCTTTTCGACATCATCTTCTTCGGATTCGTCATCAGTTTCTTCCGCGCTATCAGAATCCGGCGCTAAAAAATAAGAATAGTTTTCATTATCTTCGCTGTGATTTGCTTGTTTATGATTATTATTTTAATGAAACAATTTGTTCTTGTTTTGTTGAAAATTGAATGCATTTTAACAATTTATTTTTTCTATGACCAAAAATTTTTTTCTTGCATCATCTGCACTATAAGTCACATATCTAAAGTGAGGCAAGTTATAAGGTAATTACCTTATAACTTGCCTCACTTTAGGTATGTACCCAATATGTATTTCATATCACAAGATATTTTACTTTATAAGGGATTTGATATGTTATTCTATCATATTAGAACCATAGCTTCTAATCTCTTTGTAGAATCAAATTAATATTAATATTGAAGAAGCATTATTGTAATGCTCATTTCTAAAATTAACGAGAAGGCTCATACTTATGCATTTTTACAAATCTTGCATAATTTGTACAAACAAAATTTTGTATAAAACTTTTATAAAATTCAATGAAAAATTTTAATAAAAAATATACATTAGGTCAAATCAAAAGGCAATAAATTAAGACCACTCACATTCTTGCACATCATCTGAATCAAGCTCTTCTTTTACTTCAACTTTTCTTCTTTTTCCATACTTTGCCATTAATTCTTCTATGCTTAAATCATTATCGGCCTAAAAATTACAATATATTATATTTGTAATAATTCAATTTATAGACAGTTATTTACATTTAGCTCATCAATTTCTTGCTGGTGGTCAATGTCCTTTTCAGCATTTTCTTGTTCTAAAATTGTATCTTCAACATCATCGCTATCTTCTTCACTAGCTTGGAATTCTTCGTCTGCTGACGCTTCATCATCGCTCGAAGCGGATTCTATTTTTATATTATTTCGATTTTTTAAATAATCTTCCGGAAGACCCTTTATCAAATCATCTAAATCCATTTCAGATTCTTTTTGTAAAGCCGCGATTTCTTCTTTCACATTTTCAGCTTCCGCTTCAGCTTTGGCTATCGTTTCCTCATCGTCTTCCGAACCTGTTTCAGGACGAAATTCATCTAATTTATTAAAAAAAGAAAAGAAACACGGTTTAATTAATAATTCACTTTTTCGAATATTGTGTTCATAATATAAAATTTAAGATTTAATCAGCCAAATGCCTCGCAAAATGCGACCATCGTTTAGTAAAAAATGTTATTCAAAAATAGAAATAACAAATTTTTCAGTTAAAATTTTGTCATCATTTTATTTTTTAATAGTATGTTTAATAGTAAAAGTTTTAAATTACCATCAGAAATAACTTTTCGGTTTGGTGAAGACCTGCGGCTTGAAGTTAAACTTTGTTCAGCGCTATCCTTCTCAGGAAGCGTCTTATTCATACCTTCTGCTAATTGTTGAGAAAATTTTTCAGTCTGATCAACAATAAAACTTAAATGTTGATCTAAAGCTTTTTTCCTTTTCTCCTCTAATTTTGTATGATGTTTATATTCAACTAACTTTTCAACATTACTCCAAAATATTTTTACTTCACGTGCAATAAAGGCTGCAACACGTTTTAAGTGTAATTCTTGAGCTTTTTCAGCTCTTTGTGCAGCATTTGCTTTATCTTGAAAATATTTCTGTACCATACGGGCGCATTTTTTCGCCGCACTTTTCTTCCATTTCCTCTCTTGAGAAAAATCAGCGGCTAACCATACCATTTCTTCTAATAAATAGTCCCAATGGGCTTTTGTCCTTGAAGGTTCTTGAATTTTAGGTAAACGTTTTTCAGTCCATAAACCTTCGCGCTGCAATTCTTGTATTCTTTGCATAACATACACCTCCTGCTTTGCTTTGACAGAAAATTCTTGGGAGTTTGCATTACTTGCTGATGTTGAATTCGCATTGGCACCAATAATTGGGGGTACAGCAGGCCCATATATTGTTGGATTACTCGTATTTACTAAATTACCAGTTGAAATATTATTTTGGCTGTTAGAACCTCGATGTGTTTCATTTACATTTCCAATATTACTATTACCAGGTACAACATCTGGAACCAATGGCTTTCCACCTGGATTAGAGTATTATAATACAATAAATTTTATTTGAAAAACTTATTCCACAAAAAAAAACTGATAGTTGTTCTACAAAATATTGGGAGCATTCAAAATTAATTATAAAAAAAAAATCTTAAACAATCATCAATTTGTTTTATATGCATGCAAGTTTATGAAAATGAACCAATTTCAAAATGAAAAATATAAATAATGACGTAAATTGCCATCAAATGTATGTTATTAATAATTAAGTTATTTATAATTTCCTATTAATCGTAAGTCTATTTTTTTTTTTTCAATTTTCAATACAATAATTAAATTAAAGTCTTTCTTGGCAATGCTTTTACAATACTATTTTAACCCGAAGTATCTTCTCTCTGTATATACAATTTTGCTGGGGACATTATTTATTTCAAATATACAACTTTGTTTTAATCACATTCTAAGATATAAAAATAATTAGGTTATAACTTTAAGTGAAATTAAGATTTACTAGATTCAAAAATCATTTAAAATAAATATAATTTGATTATCGATAAATTACAAAAAGAGAAAAGATTTCATTTGCTTTAATCGCATTAGATCAGTTTTCTTACAAAAAAACATCACAAAATATAACGCGGTTTAACTATTGTTTATCTTATTGAAATAAACTCAAATTTCTATACGTGTTCATACACAGAGATGCATTAAAAAATTAAATAAGACTACAATTTTGAAAAAAGAAAAGATATGCAACAAAAAAATCATAAAAGCACATTTAATTGAAAGAAATTTCAAATTCTCATATTTGACCATTACCAAATCAAAAAACTTAAACCAATCAATAAAATAATAAAAAATTTAAAACACATGTAAATATCAATGAAGGTGCTACCTGGCACCAGCGGAACAGAAGTATTTCCTACAGCAGGTGGAACTGGAATTTGACCGAACACCATCCCGTGCCGACCTCCCTGAGGTCTACCGGGTATATGACCTATTAGATTACCCAAAATCCAACAGATTATGTTAGTGCAAGATTTTTTAAAATTTATGAATTATGAATAATGTAAAATGAAAAATTGCACAAAAATAAAAAAAAAAATCATACGTTCAATTTTTTTATACGTAAATATACAAAACACAATATTGATTAAAATTTTGTTTCCCTGCATATTAAATAAATTAATGACAAACTCAAGACCTTAACTTATAATTAAAAATGTGCGGGTTTTTTTTTCTCAATTGAACTTAGAAGTTTTATAAAATTATCCCATAAATGCAATCATTTTACCTTGTTGAGATAATTGAACAACAGCAGCTGGTAATTGTGTTGATAGCGCAATTGGTGTTGCTCCTACAGCGGGTATCTTAATTTCAGCTCCTTCTGGTAAATTATTCGAAATCGATGAAGTTGTTGATGATGATGCAGTCGATAAAGACAACGGAATTGTTTTGATTAAGTTAGTCTGCTGTTGCACCGCTTGCTGATTCTAAAATTTAAATAAAATTAAAAATCAAAATTTGACACTAAAATTTCTTTACTTATTAAATCATATTAAAAATAAAAAATCAGACAAATGCCTCGCAAAATGCGAACATCAAAAATATTTTTAACTGTTTCAAAAATAGAACCAGTTTAAAAATTCAGTTGAAGTTATCATCATTTAAATATTTAAAAAAACCCTAAACTAAATTTGTTAAGTAATAAACTTACTATCTTATTATTCGTATCATCATTCGTGAAGCCTTCTAAGCGATATGATTTATTAAAATTAATAAATTGCGGTGTTGCTGGTTTCTTCCTCCAGACCGGATATTCCATCATATTACCTCCACTTTGAAGGAAAAACAATTCGGCAACATATTCAAAGTACCTAGAGAAATAAAAATGAAATTTTTACATCATTAAAAATGAAGTACGTAAGACTTGTTTTATGACATTACTTTTCTTTAGACTTTTTTAATCTCAAATTTAAATGTTCAAAAATTTGTTTTTTCAATACATTTATGTCGGCAGAATCAACATTTATATGACTCGCTGCAGTGGTCACACTAGCTTTAGAATTTATTACTGAAGATTCTTGTGTGCTATGATCTAGTTTCACTTTTTTGGGTGTTGATGTTGGTTCTAAATTATCAGTTGTATACTGCTGCAAAGAATTATTATTAACACAACTTGACACTGTCGAAGGTGTTCCCAATGATGTTATCACATTCAAATTATTTGCAGATAAACTGTAACTGCTATAACTTAAACTTAAATCTGATCCTACCGTTTTATTTCCGGTCGCTTTTTGTTGATACTGATTTGGACCAATATTTATAATTGAAGGCGTATTTCTTTTACTATCTGTTACCACTCCTTTAATTGATTGCACAAATTTTTGTTGCTGATTTGTAATTGTTGGAATATTGGGATATCTTGAAGTTGTCATATGCTGTTGTGACGACAATGCTGGATTAAAAATGTTTTGTACCGCAGATCCACTTTGAATAATTGGAGAATGATACTGCTGTTGTTGATGTTGTTGTTGATTTGACTGTTGCTGTAGTTGTTGTTGAGAAGTTAAGGTTGCTAAATGTGAATTTGAGGCTGAAGCTGTCGATGATAATATCGACGATATTACTGTTGAAGAAGTTGATCTGCGGTTTAAGACAGCAGGAGGGGCCGGATTATACCCTTGCTGCCCCCCTCCTGCTGAATTGCCTTGATTCATGTTTGATGCATCTAAAATTGAACAAAATTTTTGGTTTTTAAAATTTAAAGAATTCGTAGAATATTATTTAAGAATTCCTTAAATTAGGTTTAAAATATTATTGTTTTATTAATACCACAACAAAAGTTTTAATTTTGTTTTTTTTTTTTAATTTGCTTTATCTCAATATCTCTCATATAGTCTTGAAATTCGAACATTTTTTACAGAAACTTGGAACAGTAACGATTAAAATTATTCAAGATATAACTATTATTTGAACTACCTTATGAAAAATTTTCTTCTCAAAACATTATTGCCTATAAATACTTACTTAAGAATAAAATCTTGCTTTCTTTATTTTACAGATGAATGTGTATACGAATTGTATATTTTGGCGCAAACCTTACAAAACGTTAACTTCTTATCAAAATAACAAAGTGATCCTCAATTCACAACAAACCTCGCGTCATTATTTTTTTTAGTTTTTAGTATCAGTAATTTTGTGGGTTATATTATTTCCAAAATGTCATAAAATTTTACTTCATTAGTTCCCGATATATTCTTCTAATACCTTGTTCTAGTCAAAAATTAAATTAACTAAAAAATCAATGCACAAATAAACAAGTAACAAACTTAGCAAAAATTAAAAAAAAAAATAATAAATGTGGAAGTTCACTTTTTTCAATATTCCATATTTTTATATTTTAAATATCAATAAACTCATACACTCTTTTTTACTACCGCGCGGAATGAAAGAGACGCATATATAACAATATTCATGAGATTGATTTATCAACTATTTTCCACCATTTTGTTTTTTCACAGCAAATTTTTTTCAACAAACCTACCTCAAAATTTCAATCACAAATTTTCTTTATTTTTTACGCTCATCGATTCATGTAAATATGTGTATTTAATTTTAAATCTTTTGAATTTTCCAAATTTATTACTCTATTGATTTTACATAAATTATTTTTTCTTTAAAATATTAAATAATCTTTGCTAGATTTATTAATAACTTCACCTTTTAACAATTCTGGCGGAAATGACTTTGACACTTACATTTGGCAGTTAAGTTTCGAGTCGGCATTTACAATTTACAAACACAACCCTGGCAGCAATTCTCTGATTTATGCCAGACACAGAATTTTCAATTTTATTTTTTTCAACAAAATTAAAGCTATATGTTTTAAGCTTTAATTTAAAATGCAAGGTAAAAACCATAAAATTCAGAAATCTACAATTTTACTAACTTTGTAACAAATTTAATTTCTTTAAAAAAGATGGGGAACATTTAAACAATATACAAAAGTTGTTCATATCTCGTCGTGACTGTTCATGATTATGTACTTTTCACTGAACTTCCTTTTAGTAAGAAAAATTCTCTTTGCATAAAAGAACTTAGAAACTATCCAAAATAAAACTCGCGCTAACAGTCTCTTTTCAAATCTCAATTTATGCAAAAAGCGACAGTTACTAAAAAAAATTAAATCATTTAATTTTTTAAATTATCTTAATACTTATGTATTTTAGTTTTTTAACATTCACTTTAACGTTGTCAAAACATAATTCACTTATTTTTGAAGCAATTTATTTCAAAATTAGCGCCGAAGCTTATAACTTTTTAAATATATAAGTCATCTACTACTTAGCTTTACAAACGAAAGAAAAGCTCATTGTCAGAAGTCAAAATTTAACTGGGTTATATTTTAAATGTGTTTCATAAAAGGACTAAAAAATATTTAATTGATGCACCGCAACACGACAAGTCTTATGTAAAAAGACGAAACAGTTAGTTGTCAATCAATTAAATTAAAATTCAAATTAAAGAATACAATCTTATATAATATACATATGTTTTTTAACTATTCATAAAGGTTTTGCCATTTTTTTTAGTTGTCATATCCATCAGCTCGTGTCGGGGGCCATTGCACCTCCCTTTTTGTTAGCGCTGATTTCTGTTAGGGATAACGAAAGGAATCTTAGGTCTGTTGGGTTGTACAATGTTCTGTTAGTTCTAATTCTTTGGTATTTGGTCCTACTGTAAGGGTACTATTAGATCTAAACTTTTGATCTTTTTCTCTCGTTTTTATTTATCTATATTATCTATTTTGTTTTTCACTTTTCTGCCTGCCTGGTGGTCGGTTTGTTGTTAGTCTTTATGTTTTTTTGTTGTCATTATTTTTAAATTGTGCTCGTCATTTTATTTTACTTGTGCTTTTACTCTTCTCTCTTTTTACGTACACATTCCTCTCCCTTTCCCATAAATGATAACGTTGTTGCTTAGTGTTGCGACTAAACTGATAGTTGCTTAGTTGCGACTAAATGATGGTTTTTTGCGCCTGTTGGCAATATGCTTAATGCTTGATCTAAGCAATGGAAGTCTGACATATATTTTGAGATTATTTTAAACTTAACTAAAATTTCTATTGTAGAATAGAATTTCTTTAATTTTAATTATAGCAAATAATGCTTTAAACACAAAGTGATATGTGCTTTGCATAACAGATGTAAGATGAATATTTTATGAATTTTTCCTTAAATTTTAAATTCCTAGTTTAACAATCATCATTCAAGCAAAAAACACATTTTTGTATTAATTTATATGTCAAAAAGTTATTTTCAGATATTTTCAGATCTGTCAGTTATTAAATAACATTCATATCACGCTCTACATGTTCAAAAAAAATTTCATATTTGACTCATTAGTTCATATAATATTTAATCACTTCAAAATTGAAAAATTATCAAATTAGACAATCCGTGTTTCGAAACTGATCGTGCCGTAATTCATTTATTGAATTTTGAACGATTCACATAATAATACAATGCAATATTAAGCGAAAAATTAACACACACATACAAAACAGAAACAATGTGAAAATAAAGCAGATTCAAAAATAAAAATTTGATAGAAAACTAATGTGTTATAATGTGTAAACACAGAGTTATTGTTACTTTGTATACATCGATTAGCACGAAAGTGTTACCACTCTCTAATAAATATTTGAATGCGTACTCAAGAATAAATTTTAATCGAAATTTTTCTGGAAATTACTTAGCATTTTTGAATTTTCCTTTTGAAAAAAAGTTTTTGAAAAAAGGCGAAGTTTCAATTAAAATCGAATAAACAATAAAATTTCTAATGTTTATTTTAATAAGCATCCATGCAGTCTATTTTGTAATCTTATTTTTCATTTCCACACTATTATGTATAATAAAAATTATATCTTGTTCTATAAAATAACTATCTACGAAGGCAATTGATAAAGGATTGATAAACCGTGACTTCAAAAATGCGCTGACGAAGTAAACTTTACCAAGTATCACATTCCAAAAACTTTAGTAAAAACTCTTGACATTGTAAACTTTTTCTAAATGCATTCTATACGTAGTGGATACGTAAAATAAAAGTAAATTGGGTATCGAAAAAATCGAGCACGCTTGAGCACATGTCATATAAATCTTGCCAAAAATAACCAGTTAAATAAACTAACATATATTTTCATCAATAAAGTGCTAGTTATTAAGTTTTTCTCCTAAAATGCAGCATAAAAATGCTGTGTTTTTAATGACGTGGTAACGTTTATTGAAAATTAACATTTGCACAGAACTTTAAATAGAAATTATTAAAAAAAACCTCAAAGTATGCATTAATATCATAAAAATTGTATTAAAAAATTAAAAGCTGTTGACATTGTACACTCTTATAAAATGTATCGAATATGCAATCGAAACGTAAAACAAAAGCTGAACGCATAGCGAAAAAATTGAAATTGCTTTTTTCATACAATGCAGCGGTTTCAAAACTTTTCCTTGATCTACAACTTTATTTAGACGGTATTCAAACTGTACAAACTTTTTATACTGCGTTTCGGATATTATCTTTTAAAAAAAACGTAATTTAACAAATGTGTTTTTTGTATAATTTTATTGCCAAAAATTGAAATATTTTATTCAGAGAAATTAAAATTAAAAACGTATATTTTTTGATATACTTATTTTATTTAAAAATTTTTAAATAAACTCAACGTAATGCATTTAACTGAAAGTATATTCTTTAATCACAATAAGAAGTAATAATAAATCTTAAAAATGTATTATACAAAATATTTTACTGTTCGCTGTTAACTAGCTCAAACCATTGCCTCATAGCTTCACTTAAAACCAACGGTAACTGATCTAAATCTCTGACGATAACATAATAAGGAAATGGAAATGTATCCAAATATGCCTTCATAGACAATTTTTTATCTGTTGAAAAATTAGGAACTCTTATATCTAAAATAGAATGCTTATTTTCAGGATTGTCAATAATTATATACACAATAAATATCCTTTGCAATTTTGCTAGTTTTACAGAATTTTTTACTTTTTGTTCACCTTCGCTAAAAATATTTCTGCCATCACTTAATATTAGTAATAAGTTTTCAAAAAGTCTATTGTCAGTACTAGAATTACCCTCCTCAATATTAAGAGTTCGAATGAAATCAAGTAATTCAGCAATTTTACTTTGGTTTTGATCGAAACTCAAAGATTTTACCAATTTCGGCCCGTCAAATTGTTCAGAATGATTTAAAATGATTTGTGGAGATTCACCGAATGATAATATATTTAATTTACCACTTTCTAATAATGTTAAAGCTTGCGATACTAAGGATATAGCTTTCAATGTTATTTCTTTTGAATTATTATGATGCATTGACTTTGAATCGTCTATAGCAATTGTAATTTTATAATCCCTTTGAGAAGGTTTCGTGCGGCGCAACCATATCTTATCTTTTCGAAATTGTGACGCAATATATGGTATAATTTTCTTCATGTTAATACGACGACCAGTTTTGTAATCGCCTTTTAACTTTGTACATTTAGTTGGTTCTAATATAAGGCGCAATTGCTCACATAAATCTCTTGCATTTGAAACCATTAAAGATGAAATCGATTCCCATATTTCGAAATCTTTTGTTTGAGGAATTTTCTGAAAAGTAAAATTATATTAATTCAAAAGTACTCAGTATATATTATTTGTGCTCATATTTACATTACCTTTTGAACATTTTCTAACTTTTCATAATACATTTTCCTCATTTGAAGTGTCTCAGTATCATCCTCCTCTTGTACACCTTTTATGCTTGCATTTTCATTTCTATTAGAAAGAAATAAAAAAATATTTTAATGTTCAGAAAAAAATATATTAATAAAAAGCCTTAAAGTATTGAAAATAAAATTATATGAAAACTTACGCGAAATGTGATGTAGTATCAGAGCCGCGTGTTACATATATGGTATCTATATTTTCGCCTTCAATTTCCATTTTTTCTTCACATATTTCATGCTGACTTTGTTCTTTTATATCCTTAGATTTAGATTTTTGTGTCTCCTGAGTTGTCTTTTCTGAATTTATTTCTAATATTTCCTGCTCTAACGAGTCATCTTCGTCCAAATTTTCTTCAATATTATCCTTATTAGTTAGGTCATCAATTTCTTCTTCATTTTCTTCTGTGTCGCTTAAATGTTGAATCTTCTTTGACTGTTCTTCAGTTGCATTATCGATTGCTGTAATCGTGGTCCGATCCGGCTCTTTAATGTGTTGAAATTCATCACTATTAGCTCCTTCTTCTAAGTTAGATTTTTCGTTAATTTCTTTCTCATTTTCGTCTTTGTTTTTTTCAATTGTTTTTAAATTCTTAATTGTGTTTTCATCACGTTCTCCTAATGTTCTATTTTCATTGGCGTCTTGGAGTTTATTTTTGGTTTTCGATTCATTTTTATTAACATTTTTTTCAATTGAATTAACCTCTTTAGTTTCGGTAATACTCTGATGGCCTTTTTCGGATTTGTCATCGTTTGCTTGTCCGACACCTTTACCTTCTTCGCCAGTTTCCTGTTCGTCGAGTTTTTGATTTTGTTCAATATTTATGTCTTCAGAACTTTGAACTTGATCATTCGAATTTTTGTATTCTTCGGTATCATTTGTTTGTAAATTATTTTCTTTACTTGCATTATCTCGTGATTCCTCATATAGTTCGTCTGAATTTCGTTGCTCTTCATTATTATCGTCTTGAATTTCATTATCTTTTTTATTTACATCATTTTCTAAACTTACGTCACTATCGGCTGCATCTTCTTCGTTATTATTGCTATTGCCTTTTTCTTCATTATCTTCACTGTGTTTTAAATTCTCAAAATTTTCCTCGTCAGATTCATCATCAGGAGTGTTTGACATATTGTCTTCATTTTTTTCATCATCATTGAGTTCCTCCTGTTGTTCAGTCGATTCCATCGTTTCCTTCATTTTATCAATATCAAACGGATTTTCTAAATTATTAGATTGCTCTTTGTCTTTATCATTTCCTTCATCTAAATTCACATTGTCGTCTAATTCCATTTCTTCGGCTTCTGGCGGTTCTTCAAGATTGTTATGGTATGGGTTTGTTTGTTCAATATCTAATTCGGGTTCTAGCATATTATCAATATCCTTAGCTTTTTGTTTCTTTTCCTCCGAATCTTTGTCCTCACTTACAGAATCTAATTGTTCTTCATTTTTCCCAGATTCATTGTCACCCTTAGGTTCTTCTTTAGGTGCTTCAAGATCATTATGTCCATCATTTTCGTTTTTACGACCTTTGACAGATTCATCGTCACTCACTTCACCATCATCTTCATTTTTTTCTTCATTATCTGAACCCCAAATTTGTTCATCTAGCTTGTCAGCTCCTTTTTCAGTGTTTCCCATTTCTTTTTCAAAATCATTATCATCATCATTTTCTTCAGAAACTTCATCCTCTTCCTGGTCTTTATCGACATCTTGTAAATCTGCATCGAAATTATCGCTCATCTCGATTCCTGCAATCAAAAATTTAACCATTCATATAATTGATATGTACGTTATAATTTAGTATTTAGTATTTATATATATCAAAAAAGTTTTCATGTGCAATTATTATCTACTAATGTTATGATCGCGGTTAATTCTTTTTAAATAGAAAGTACTACTATGTTCAATGGCTAATATCTTTCATTCTTCAATAAATAATTAAATAAAACATATGAATATAACAACAAAATGTATATGAAGTACTACTGTACTGAATACTTTATTTACGTCGTGGTATATTAATTTAACATTTTCATGAACTTACCTTTTTCTTCCTCACAATTTTTATCATTCTCATTCTTTTCGTTCTGTCTATCTTCTGGTCTTCGTGCATCCTCTAATTGATCTTCGTTTTCAATTTTATCTGAAACATCTTTTTCATTACCAGTAGTATTTTCTTCGGAAAATCCTCCTCCTTCACTTTTTTGGTTTTGTTGTTGTTTGCCCTCTTCGTCTTGTATTAAATCCGGTGGAGAACAAAAACCTTTTGAACTTAGCTCTATAAAGGCAGAGAGCATTACATACAACATTTTTGTTGATACTTTATGTGCACCTAATTGCTGGAAAATATAATAACAGCCAAGTAAAAGGTATTGATCCAAAATTGGAATTAACGAAGAAATCTTTTTTATAATTTCTGTTTTATAATTTAAATGCTTAACTGCAATAAACACATTTTCAATTTTTGAGCAAATATTTTTCATGTTGAATTCTTTAAAATCAACTACCATTTCCTTGAATAATTTTTCTTTTAAATGGTTTTTATATATTTCTGATTCTCCAATAACATTCATTTTTTCTTTGTTTAGTTCTTCGAAATTATCTTCAAGATTATATTTTTTAAATAGATTTTGTATAGCCATCAATGATATGTGAAGAATATTATCGAGTTCAGTGCTAATTACACTTACGTCAATTTCAAGCGTTGATTGAGTTATTACCTTATTCCTATTATCCAATTCAAGTATACTATTTTGCAATTTATCAAGAGAAATCTTAATCGGTGCATAATTGTAGTCTTTATTAAATTCGGATTGTAAATCTAATATATGTTTAAGACATTTTTTTTTATTTTCTAAAAGTTCTTTAATAGTTTCATAATTTAATGGTTCTACAGTAGACAAATTTTTCAATTTAGCAATAGATACTTTGGTTATTTGCAATATCTTTTCGCTATAATTTAAAATATTTTCATATTTTTCTGATTTTTGAATTAAAACTTCTTGATTTTCAAAAACCATGGTCAGTTTATTCGCATCTGATGGAATAGTTTCCAGTAAATCTTTAAATTCACCAATAAAAATATATATTTTTCTGAAAAATTCTTTTAAATTTAATAAATTACTCTCCAGTTCCAAAAAGTTCATTTTGAGTTCATCATAATTGTTATATTGACAACAATAAACCAATAAATTTAAATTATTAATACTCTTCTTTAATTGACAGAATACATTAACAGAAGAACTTAACAATTTTCTCTGATTTTGAACAAACGAAAGCATATCAACTGAAAAGCCTTTAATTCTGTCAATATTTGACGGTCCTAAATCTGGATTCGGATTTTGCAAATTTTTTTGTAAAATATTCATTTTATACGCACATTTTGCATAGTACAAATTTAAATTATCATTTAGATAAGTGAAATTTTGATTCAAAGTTTTAGATTTAGATAAATTTAACAATAAATTATCGATTGAAAACGGTTTAATCTTCATATTGGTTAGATCTGATTTAATTGATATTTCTGTAAGACCAGATCTGTAATTTAAGCCTAAAATAGTGAGAGTTTTAAATACATCGGAAAGCGTTTTCCTTTTCTGTTGTAAAAAATGTTTGTTTTGGATTATTTGTTTACTTTTTTCTTGACTTCGATCCACATTCAAGTTACGTAAATATTCATATGTTTCAAAATAATTTGAAAGAAGTCCTTCTAAGTTACTAGTTAAATTTGGATAATTTATTTTTAATATTAATTCTTTGACCACATTTCTTGACGTTAAAAATAATTTTTCAAATCTATTTAGAATAACTGATGACGAGTTTGAAAGCGTTTCATCATTATTATCGTATTTGATATTTTTAGAAGTTTGAGAGGATATAAAATGCTTAACATCAATCATATAATACTTTATTTTTGGATCATTTCGTAAGCATTTCCCGCCCTTATCATTATTTGTGCTCAAATCAGACATATTTTCTTCTTTATAGTTAAATACATTTGTAATTGATTCTTTTAGCCCATGCTCATATTCTTTAACAAGTTTGTTCAAATTTCTGTGCACTTTGGCAATATTATTTTTCATACTAAAATACGATAAATCCTTGTTATATGACTCGATTTTAACAATTTCTTCCAATTTTTTTTTAACTGTCGTAAATAAGTTCTTTTTATACACATCTATTTCGTTAGAAAATTGCTCATAGTATAAATGAATGTTATATATTAACGATATAAGTTTGCCTTTTTCTATGTTGCATTCGTTTTTGTATTGAATCGTGAAGTTCAAATAAAGTTCAAATGATTTCAATAACATTAGCCTTATTGAAAAATCTCCATAATTTGATGACTCAATAAATTGTTTAAAAACTTTCATCATGTTATTCAAATTTGTTTCGTCCTTTTTTTCTAAACACTGATCTTCTGCATATTCCTTGACAGTTGTTAAAAACTCATCGATTGAGTTATATATAAAAAACCTTTTAAAAGAAAATTTAATATGTTTATTTTCTTTTTAATTTTTATATAAAACATTATTAGCTATTAATGGACGCTAACCCTAAATTGAATTCATCAACATTTATGCTACTAATTATTTCCTATATAATATATTTAAAAATTAACATACTAATTAACACATTTTTACATTAAAACAACATTTAACAAAACTTACTGACTAAAACTACTTTTTTTAAATTAAATTTGGGTTTAAAGTATCATTCAATCTTTTTGCTTACCAATAGTTATAGCTTGATATTTCAATTTTTTCCCTTACGTCGGTTAAACAATTCCTCCAAAATCGCAACTCTAATTTGGTCCAGTGTTGTATAAACTCAGCAACACGAATTTCTAAGTCTTGCATATGATTATTTTTATGGGCAACTTCATTCCATTGAGATATTTTTTGTCGTAATAATTGGAAACCAGTGTTAAATCTTACTATGGGAGACACAATCGAAAAATGACTAATTCTCTTAGTTATTTTCAGTATATCAATTAGAGTTGCATGCTCTGGATATAAATCGAGTTGTTTGTTAACACGCTCGATTATTTCGCCTAGTAATGGAACACAAGAAGCTGTTTCTGGTATATTTGAGTCCTTATAAATATTAAAAACTGTTTCTTTATCAGATCTTTTTAAAGGTTCATTGTTAATTCGATCGCGATGTTGTTTAATTATTAAACAGAATATGTTTAAAAGTTTAGAATCGAAAGTATCACTTAAACTTGGCTTATAAACATCAAATATGATTTGAAACAATTTTAATTTGTCATTAAAGTCATCGATATATATTTGTTTTTGAATGAAATTATTTTTGGATGTTAAATTACCAGATTCGGTCCGCATGGTAACTAAATTCATAAAGATCTTTACAGCAAAGCTGAAATCGATTTGAGTTACATTTTTGGTATTTGTTTGAGTTTTATTAATGTTATTCTCAAAAGGGTTAATTTCTACGAATTCAGAAAAATCTTCATTTACTGTCACTGGGAATAATTCCTGCATTGACTTAAGGTCTTCTTCTTCTTCATTTTCATTTTCACATTTAGTCTTTATTACATACAAACTTTCTTCTTCAATTTGTTGTTTTCTTTTTGAATCTTCCTGACTTTTCCATACTTCATTAATTAACTTAAGAGAATCAGAAAAGTCAGAAAATGATTTTGCATCTACTTCTAATGAAGTACTTATTGCGTTATATATTCCCGCAATTTTAAATTTTAAAACTCTAATATACAAGGTTTCATATTCATGAGGACTAATTTTTTTGAGTATGTTAAGTAAATTATCTTGTAAGTTTTCCGAAAGTAATTGCTGATGTGGATATTCGGTAAGAAACTCTAATGTTTCGCATAAATCTTCTTTCGTTAAATCAGGGTTTTCTATTTCAAACATGATTGAATTTCTTAGTTGTAACAGGTTTTTTTGTAAATTTCCAAAGCTAAAACGAATAATATTAATTGCACATTCTAGTGGATATAACAAATCATCCCGATAAGACGGATAACTCTTTGAAATTTGAAGCAGGAATTGCTGTGAATTTAATGTCCATACTTTTAAGACTTTAATGCATTCACTTATTTCCTTTTGTAAATCAATTTTGTCATTTTCATAATTAAAGCATTTATCTGCTTTTGAAACAATTGAGATGAGTTGATTTAGATTACCATTAACATTAAGATAATGAGTAATGTCTTGCACCATTTTGTTATATAGATGTGATTCTGGACGTTTTTCTAAGTTTTTATTCAAATATTTTTGTTTTTTCCTGATTAATTCTTCTAATCTTTCATTTATTTTTAAACGATATTCTTCAGCCAAACCTTTGTAATCCATCACTTTTGACATAATATTATATGCGTTAGATAAACTATGTAAATGATTTATATCCTCATCTAAATATCGTTTTTTTAAAAAACTCTTTTCAATTGGGTCCACAAGCGGTAAATATGTTAACAAATGTAATTGTATTGAACCGATTAAAGAATACATTATAGCTGTTTTCTGTTCCAAATTCAGAAGTTCCTTGTATGAGTATTCACAATTAAAGTTGATATTAATTTTTACACAAGTTTCAATATTATTCTTAAGTTTTTTAACTACATTGTTAAATGCCTCATAGTTTTGATTTAAGGATGCATTTAAAATATTTGATTTTATTTCATTAAAAACAAACTCAACTTCCAACAGAAGTTTTTTACTATAAATTAACGCAGATTGAAAGTTGTATATGATATTATGAATATTATCGGTTAACTTCGAGTTGAACCACAAAAGTTCACAAATTTGATTTAATTGATTCTGCCATCTTGGTAGCTCTTTTACTGAAATTTGCCGCAAATCCCCATCAATGGACAATAGTGATTTATTTAAAATATTTACTAAATATGGACCGTTGTAGTTTATATCACAACTAATTTCTAGGGTGTTTATGGGCTCGAAACAACAATTAAATTTTAATTTTAAATTCGACAATTTAAAACACTTAATAAAGTTTTGAATTTTTTGATCAAAAGTTGAATATTTTCGGTAATCTGATACTTTTAGCAATTCTCTATTGCAATTAAGAAATGTAATTAAATCTTCATTCTCATTAATGCAACTAAATATATTTGACCACATTTTGCTAAAATTTCTATATTCACTTGTACTTAGAATTTGAAAAAAATTCATATCACATATCTTCAAAGAAAATATTGATTCGGTATATGTCTTATTTAGGACATCAGAATCTATATATGCAAAAAGGTTGTTTAAGAAATACTCTTTTAACGGTAACATTTCAATATCAAACATATTTAACTTTATGTCATTGACATCGTAGCTATCATCTGAAATTATTGCATTTATGTGTTCTATTGATGTATTTGCGATATCAAAATCAATTTCTTTACTAAAGCTATTGAAATGCAGCTGATTCTTCTTAAATTCCTGTAAAATTTTTTGTATTTTACTTTCATTTTTGGAAACAATTTGTTTTTCATCATCAAAATCATCAGATTCTTTTCGAATGTCATTCATCAATTCATTACAATTGTTGTATAGCAGCAAAGATTTTATTTTTTTTGATTCTTCGTAAGTTATTATATTAAACTTTTTTAGTATCGTATTAGCGTCAAATTTTCCATAGAATGGTATTAAACTTATAAGATGATCAAATTTAAAGCACACTTCATCATATTGTAATTTTGTTAGAGTTTCTGAAGCCCTAAAATTGGTCATTAGTTTGACATAATATTTTTTTAATATATTCAAATCAGAAATTGATTTCTTAAGATGATCTGCCAGAACGTTATACACCTCACAAATATCGCAAAGTGTGTTTTTGAACGCTATTTGAATTGGTTTCATTACAACTTTGTCAATCCACTTAAAGTGCAAATAAAGTTGATTAAGTAATAATTGATTAGGCTCGCCATTTTTTTCAAATAAAGCTTTATCAGCTATTTGCTGATATCTTGTAAGCCATAACAAATTTAGTGTAATATTAACAAAGTTTGCAATATCGTTATCAATATTTTCTGCCACATTTTTAAAAAAAATTCTTAATTCTTTTATAAAAACGTACAAATTTTTTAAAAATTCATTATTGGTTTTATCAATTATTAACTTCATATTAACACTATACGAATAATTATAAGCCGTTATTTTTTCCTTTTTTAAGTTTAAACTTTCCTTGTTTGGTAATGGAGCAACTAAAGTTTCATACATAAGATGTGCAGTCAACTTGCTTTCAAATTCTTGTTTTATATAAACATCGGTAAGCTCTCTATATGTCCTTATACGTGGAAATATTTTCATATTCCATGGTAAATCTGTTGATATTATGTTTTTACCTTCGTATTTTAAGATTTCATTTCTAAACGTTATCAATAAATTTTCGTTGAGTTTCAACAATTTTTCTGTTAAATCAACCGGCAATATTTTTGCGGACTTATTCAATAGTTTCTCTATAACATAATAACGATATTTAATATCAGCTTGCTTACTGGTTTGATATATAACAAAAATATAAAATTTTAATAATAATTCGTCATTTGCGAATTCATCTAATCCATATTCATTAAACAAAAATTTTATATCAGCTATTGCATTTTCATAATTTTCGTAATTGTTCAATAATATTGTTAAAGGTTCCAGTTGCAATTTAACTAAAGACAAGCAGTTTAAATTTTTCGACGTAAGAATTGTATTTTTTAAATTAATATTGTTATCTCTTTTGTTCCTAATCATATCACTTGCTTCGCAAATAATGTCTTTCAGTTGATTTTTATAGAAGTCTAAACCATAGCCCATTAGATCAATATTTGATGAATAGACAAATATGTCCATTCCAGCTAAATATATTGATGTAAAATCATCAAAACCTATTGTATTATAAGCATGTATTAAAAATGTTAATTGTGTCAAATGTGATACGTTAAAATTATTCAAATCTGTTAAATTTTTCACTCTTGTATACAAATGCAAAATGGCATCGATATTATTTGATTTTATTATTCCATTTGAAAAAATTATTTTTTTTAAATCGTTATCTGTGTAATTCTTATTTAAAGCGACTTCAACGCAGCGATTCCGCATAGCTCGTGATAATTCACCGTTTTTGGGATCTAAGGTTAAAAAGACCCTAAAATTTTTATGTTTGTCAACTACTTCCGCCGTACAGCCAACAGCAATTCCCTTTTCTGAAATCAAAAGTTGACCTTCAGGTTCTAAAACAGAATTTAAGCGATCCAAAACAGCCGAGGAACACAAATTTGAATGCTCAAGACATATATAACCTCCGCTTTTTAAACATTTCACAATTTTTGAATCAATCCATTCAAAATATCCTCCGCTATTTAATGTGCCTGATTTTTCAATAATGTTTTTAAGTTTATTTAATAAAAACAGGTATAACTGTGCCCATTTTGGTGTTACACAGGCATTAAATTCTTCTTCCGACGTAGATTCCTTCAAATATTCAATGACTGCTTTTAAACTTTCGATACGTTTTATAAAAATTAAAATAGTATCTTCTACAGCTTGTATAGGTTCAATATCTAAGTTAGAAAAAAATTCAAAGTATGTTTAAAAATTATTCTAAATAACAAAACTTACTACCAACTGAATCCAATTTTGTGTAAGAATTCCAAGTTTTTAAAAATCTGCACGCATTTAACAGGCATTTTTTGTTCTTGTAAAGTTTTTCTTTGATAAATTCATTCTGAATAAATTTTATTAGTTTTCCTCCGATCTGAGACGATATCTCTTCAAAATGTCTGTTGAAATCAACCTATAAAACAAAATTGTTTATGACTTTGATAATTATACTTATGATTGAAAATAAAACAATTTACTTGTTGGAAACTGCCAGTAACCGAATCATCAATATTGTCAAAAGCGCAAGGTATATTTGAAATATCACTAAGTAAATTTATAACTTTTGTTTTGCCTGAATCAACAGGACCGCAAAGTAAAACAGGTTTTTCGAGATGTACACATTCTGCTAAATTTTTTAATAGTTCTTTTTGTTGACTTAAAATTAACGGATATTCTTTCCCAGTTTTTTGATGTTGATCGCTATTATCCAAATAATCTACAATGTCTCGTTTTATAATAATATCATTTAGGTAAACTGCATTTTCAGTAAAGTAAAAACTTATATCTTCCGATACTTTATTCAATTTTTCAACATCACAATTAAATTCCGTTGAAAATGCATTATAAATGAAAGTACGGTCCTTATCTGATCTCATTCTTTGGCAGTAGATAAGTTTCATTCTTTCATAAAGGACAAGAATAAAATCTTTGAGATCTAATAAAAAATTCTTTAGAGAACCAAAATATCTTTCCTTTGGTATAATAAAACCAGTGTTTTTATCAAATAATGATTCGCACCAGCGCAAAATATCTCTCAAATTAATTTCGTATGGGCCACCTTGAAATCCAAACTCAAATTCTGTAACACCTTTGGCAAGTTTTTCAGAAAATCGGACCATCCTATCAGCCAAATCAAATTCAAACTTCGAGTGATTTGAAAGCAAACCCTGAAGCTCTTTATGTTTGATATCTTCTAATTGCAATACATCGAAGATATTTATGACATTACTACTAGAAGAATTTAAGTATTTTTCAAAATGATTTAAGATTTCGTAAAAATTTTCTTTGTATTTATTGTTTATTACATGAAGAAGATCTTCCATAGTTAGTTTCCTTAAATAAACTTTTGTAAAACGATTTAAAAATGATTGTGGCAAGCCTTTTCTGCCACCGCCCTGTCTCAATGGATTTTGACACGCAAATATTTTAGTTCCTTGTCCTATTTTAAAAGTTTTATTTAGTTCAGGAATAAAAACTTCGCCTCTGTGATCTAAAATGGCATTAAGACCTTCCAGAACACTCTGAGGTGCCAAATTTAATTCATCCAATAAGATCCAAACATTTTTATCTAACAAAGCAGATAAAAGGGGTCCATTATGCCATTTAAAGGCTCCTGGTTGATATTTGTGTGTTAAATGCTTTTCGTTCAGTTCATCGGAACTAAAGCAAAATAAATTTTCTTCGACAGGTAGGTCTGTTCCGAAAAGATCTGCTAAATCGGTGTGCTCACACAAATTTATTCTAACAATTTTGTATCCAATATATTTTGCTAAATTTTCTATTAGCGAAGTTTTCCCAACTCCAGGAGGCCCTTCTAATAAAATTGCTTTTTCCAAACTTAATGCAGACAGCAAACGAAATAAATTATTAAATGTCGTGGGAGCTTCAAAGAAAAACTTATTTTGCTTACTCACTGAATTTTTACAAGCATTTATATAAAATGGATTTATTCCAAAAATGTTTTCATTAAATTCGATAAATTTTCCACGAATATTTTTTTTCAATCGATTTAAATTAAAATTGCTATCAATTTCTCTAATAAGAAAATTAATGGCTGATTCCCTCATCTCATCTATATGTTCCAATGAATCTTGACCTAGCATTTCTAATGAGTCCAAAAATATTATCTCTAAACCAAATACTAATATTTCTGCTCGGTCATATATAATTTTTTCCAGTTGGTCATTTTTCGAATTTTTCAGTATGTACACAGCCCACGCTATTATATCGCGTACTGAAAATTTGAATTTAGTAACTTTTTCTTTTAAATAAAACACTACTTTCACTAATATTTTAGCAATTTGCTCATGAATTTTAGAAGTACTTCTTTTAGATAAATTGAACGTGTTTGTTATTATCTGCTCAAGGTCTTTGAGTTCAGTCGACGGTTTACACCAAATTTCTGTGAAACGATTTCTTAAAGCTGGCGACAATTCTTTCTTCCCAAAATCGCCTCCAGGATTCATGGTAGCTAAAAATTTAAAATTATCTTTCGCTTTTATAGTAAATTCATCTGACTTTGTTTCACTTATTTCGCTTTCAATATTACTTTCAGTAACACCTTTTTCAGCTAGCAACAATGATCTTTCTGGTTCTAAAACAGAATTTAATCTTTCTAACACAGAATCTTCCGCTAATGAAATTTCATCTGCCATAAAATAACTACCATCTTGCATTGACTCAACTAAAGGACCATCAATCCATTCAAATAATTGTTTTTCTTTCGTTTCGGCATGCACATTTTCTTCTTCTTGTTTATTTTTATTTAAATCCCTACTACGATGCGGTCTGAGCCCACCTAGGAAATCAGCGCCTTCAGTATGCATATGACAGTTTAAGATTCTTAAATTTGAATTTGCGATGGCTGCCAATATTTGACAAATAGTGGTTTTTCCTGATCCTGTTACTCCAATTAATAAAACAGGTTCGTTGAATTCAAGTGATTTTGCAGATAGAACTGCCATTCGCTTCATATTATTTGTCCAAACAATATCATTTCTCATTTTAAAGTCATTCAAACTTTGAAGAATCGCTTTTGTAGCCATTGAAGTATTATTATTTAAGTCGAATAATTTTTTAGGTTCTACAAGTTTTTTGAAATTATTTTTTAGCGCGTCACATATGATCTGTTCCTCAATATCACTTCGTACTTTACCAGACAATACAAGGTAACCTTCGTCCACTAAATGTTGATTCCAATCGTATGAATTATCATTAAGCAATTTTTTATTAGCATATGTATAGCGATTTCCCCAGCGAAATAGATCTCGTAAAGTAAAATTGTTCTTGGAGGTAGTGGTTTTTCTATTTGCTTGCAATTCGTTCATACATTTTACCATTTTTTTGGAGTATGATTTAGGTATAAAGCATCGTTTTTCTAAAATTAATTCTAATTCATTTGAAGGTATATCAGAAAAATGCAGTTCAACGAAACGGTTTTTAAATGCGCGTGACAAAGTTTTTCGACCACCATATAAACCTGGAGGATTTTGAGTTGCAAATAACATAAAGTTTTTATGAGCCTTAACTATAGTTTGCGTTTCTGGTATAAAAAGTTCTCTATTATCATCTAAGACTCTATTCAGAGCTTCGAGAATATCAGATGAAGCTAAATTTAATTCATCTAATATTATCCAAAATCCGTTTCGCATTGCTTGAACCAGTACCCCTTCTTTAAAGGACAATTTCCCGTTTTTATCAGATACATATGTCCCTATGTACTCTTGCAAATCAGTGTGCTCATGATTATTTACTCTCAAACATACATTTCCACTTTTTTTAGCAATATATTCGATAAGACTAGTTTTTCCTGCGCTTGTTGGTCCTTGTAACAGAATCGGAAGTTTACCGATAGATATAATTCTAGCAAGATCTTTCAAATTCTGTTCCACACTTTCGGTTAAAATGTAATATTCACATTCCAGTATAGATTTTTTGCCTAAAATATAAGTACGTTACAATAAAGAAAATATATATTTTTTTATATACTTTTTGGGAAGATGTTTTAAAAATATAAACATAAAATATTACATGAAAAAATATTTAAAACATGACAAAGAAATTAAACATATACCTTTTTCTATCCAATATCCTCCAAAATTCAAAAAATTTTCACCGGGCTTAGGTATACTTTGAGATAGCACCGCATTAGCATGCTTTTCAAGCATGTATTCTCTTATCAGACTTAACACAACTTTATGTGAAGTAATATCTAACTGGGTTAAAAAACTTAAGCAAAAACTTTCGTATAAATTTCTTTCAATCGAGCCACATAAGTTTTTGGAGCAAATTTTTAGTGCTCTACATAAATTTCGCAAGGAGTATACGGGTCGATTCCCAAGTCCATCATTCAGTTCCAATTGAGACAATCCTCTAAGTTTTTTGTATAATTTTACAATATTCGAAATTTTTGCTTTTTTAATTCCAGTATCTAACAAATAATCGTCAACAAGTAGAGTCAAATCGTAATCAGTAACCAATTCGTCTACATAAAATTCAGTAAATCTATTTCTAATCCCAGTGGGAAGATCTTTTTTTCCTATATCTGTGCTGGGATTCATACAAGCAAAAATTCTAAAATTCGGATGTCTTTCCAAGGGCGAAAAATCACCACGTTCCAAGAGAATTATAGAACCGTTTGGTTCTAATATCGTTGATAAACATTCCAGAGTCTCTGAAGTTGCTAAATTTATTTCATCTAATAAGATCCAGTCGCCGTTTTGAATACATGTAACCAGCGCTCCTGGAATAAAAGCAAATGAAATATTTGCAGATTTTTTTAGTTGAGAATTTAATCTTAGGACTTTCTTCCGAAGTACAGTCCATTCTCCTAAACTTTTTCGTGCAATATTATTTTGATTTATTTTCGCTTTTTCAAACACGGATTCTGTTATTTTTAGAATAAGTTTTATAATTATGTCAAAATTCCCTTGATTATAACATATACTAATGTTTGATAGAAACTTTTCATTTTTTATTTCATTGAATGTTTTTCGAAATAAATTTTCAAACTCCATTCTAAGCGGCATCATTACATAACTCAAATCGACTGGACGAAAACCGCCCATTAAATCAGAAACATCTGATTGATTATTCATATTTATAACTACTAAATCATGATTTGTTTGCTTAGCAAGATAGTGAATGCAACTGGTTTTTCCTACACCTGTCTCGCCAACTAAAAGGACGGGCTCATTTTGATTTATGCAAACGGCAACTTTTTCTAGAAGGCAAACACTTATTCTGGTAAATGCAAATACGTCCGATTGTTTATTTGCTTTTTTCGTTATTTGCACAGAAATTTCTTTTTCTGTATTTTCACCTAATTTTAACCGTTTTTTGTTAACCATTTCTTCATTCATATCACGTTTTGAACGTAGTTTTGCTTTATTTAATGAAACTCTTCCGATTTTGATACATAAATCATTTAAATCAACATCAGGCTTATATTCATTCGCGTAATGTTCACATCGAGAAGGATTGATTCCTAAATTAGAACCGACACTTATGATCAGTTTCACTTTCTCCGGTCCATGTTGCAAATATGAACAAAATAAATCTACAGCATTTTGAAATATAAAAAATGCGCATTCGGTGCTGGTCTTAGAAAACGTCGGTTCACATCTTTGGCATAATTTTATAAAATCCCTTGTTGAAACTAGTCTTTCTGTGTTTGACCGACGAATGTTCGAAGAAGAATTCAAAAACTCCGTGGTGAAATTTTCATTAACAAAATTTAAATACATATTCACCATTCGGGATGCTATATCCTTTAAGTTAGAATAATTTTCGCTAACTATATAAGTAAGCTCCTGCTTGGAAAGCGGAACAATATTAACGGTATACAGATACTTGTTCAACAACGAAACATATGACTTTTGCGAGCTTGTTGTTAGACAACCAGTTCTAAAAAATCAACTTTTAATTATAATTTGTTAATAATAGTTAAACATATTACCTTAGAGAAACAAATAGTTGAAATCCAGGCGCGATTTTTATCACATCTTTGAACCCTGGCACACTTAATGTTTTAGTTTCTAACATATTAGATAAAATTGTAAATGTGTCTTGAGTAGCTAGATCAATATCTTCCAAAAGAATCCACATTCCTTTCATTACTGCCTACATAAAAAAATATTCAATTTTTTAGGTTATTTGAAAAACAAAATTGTTTTACTTGAGTTAATACTCCTGGGGACCATGTAAACTCTCCCGGAATATCTGTGCAATGATACTGACCCAGAAGCATTTTACTGTCAGTTTGGTCCCCTAACTGAATTCTTAGGAAACCATTTCTATTGATAAAGTTGTGTTGATACTGCACTTGCGTTTCTAATACCTTATGTAGGTTGTTTTCGTTTAGTAATTCAGTTGCATTTTTTCTTTTATGGTTGCGTAAGAAATTCACGTCTTCATTTGAAATACAAATGTTTGTAGTTCCCGAATGCGTTTCAATTTGTTTTTCATGTAAAAATTCACTATCAGTTTTTGCATTGGCAGGATATACATGTCCAGTTATTTTAGCTAAATACTCAACAAGGATTGTTTTCCCGCATCCAACAGGGCCAGATATACATATTGTTTTACCAGATGATATACCAATTGCAATATTTCTTAAATTAGTTTTTGTTGAATCAACTTTAATAATTTCATTTTCACCTAGCAGTTTAAAATAGTTATAATTTTTTACATTATAGACAGGTAAAAAAACTTCTTCAATATTCACAACAACTTCATTTGAGCAATCATATTCCATTGAGCTAACATTTGTAATTGAAGTAGATTCTTGAATGGCCATAAAATTTCTTTGTTTCTCAATCTCGTCGAAATCTTCTAAAAATCCTGGAGGAATATTTGAATTCAAGGCTGATAACTGGAATTCCGTCATGTCTGTTAAAATTGCGACAATTTTATTGCAATAGATTTGTTGATCATAGTTGCCTGTAATAAAGTATCTTTTTGTAAAAATATTTATAACATGTGCATGCATATGTACTATAAAAAAAATAGCAGTAACATTTGCTTTGTTGAAATATTTAATTAAACAAACATAAGATTTACATCCAGTACTTAGTTTCTAGTTTACCTAAAATATTTGAGAAGACACTCTAAATGTTAACTACTTCTTTGTTTTACCTTCGTTAAAATATTTTTCCAAAAATGGTGACCAATCCCAAATATCTCTGAAAAAGGCAGCATTAGCAGTTAAAAGTTTATAACAACATTTAATGATATCCTTATCAGTAAGATCTGATTCTGATACAATAAGTTTCTTTCTCTTTTCTTCATATTGTTTTTCGCTAACATTAGAAATAAATGGAGCTGGTTTGTTGACAAAAAATTTAAGAGAATACTCAAGTACACTTAAATTTTGATGCACTAGTTCCGACAATATTACACATTTCTTTTGGTAATCTAAGAAACTCGAAAAATCTGCATGTAATGGAATGGCTTTGGTAACTATTAAAAGAAGGAATGGCATGAATTCATTTGTAATATGGGATGTCCATTTTTTTTCTAGCAATTTTTCGCCAAGATATAGAAAAATTTTATCTAAGTCTGCTTCTGAAAATTCCTACAAAAAAACATTATTTGTTACAATCTCGCAAAAATCACATGTACCGGAATTCTTTTTTATAATACTAACATTTAACCTCAAAAATTGTTGAAACCCGTTGTTCTCGATATTTAACGATGCTAATCTCTTAATTGATTTTTTTAAATTTTCACAATTGATTCTCATGTTAACTAAAAGTTTTTGCCGTAATTGTTTATAAAAATTAAATTCCTTTTTTATTTCAAAATATTTTTATTACAATTTAGAACCACCGCCGTGTTAGAAACGAAAACAAAACATTAAAGTTAAAGCACCAGCGAAGAAAAGGAAAACTGATAGCATGTAGCAATGTTGCCAAATATCTTTCTTAAAAATTCACAAAAAGAATTTGAATTTTGCTGTTTTCCCTGTCTATACATTCTTTTTTCCATAATTTTTCACACATTATATATATACAAATTTTATATTTATGTAAAGCATAAATAAACAAAAGTTTTATTTGACAAGAAACAAAACTGTTTTAATAAGAAGAGCTAAATAACTTCGTTTTTTATAAAAGAAAAAAATAGATAAAATGTGTTTAATATTGGGTGATTTTTTTCTTTACAAAAAATTCTTTAATATTTTGTAATAAGTAATTAATTAGAGTTTTAATTTTTTAATTCCAAGCTTTGAAGTTATTTTGTGTGTATTTCGAAGTACTTTAAATTTATTAAAATTTATTTTAAAAAATTATTTTTCTTTTGCAAAAAACCGTTAGTTACAAAATTTTTCAAAGTTTTTTATTTCGCAACTGTCATCAGTTATCTTGCGAATTTTTTAATTATGGTCTCAACCGGAATTGATAAAATTAACTGATGAGGTCATTTCCCGCAAAAATATGATTCAGCCGCTTAATTTTAATGGCCTGAATGATATTTTTGCGGGAAGTGACCATCAAACATCTGATATGCTTCTGCTTTAACTCTTTTCATCAGATTTTATCTGATGTCAGACTTTTCTGGCACACCAGATTTTTATGAGATTCAGATTTAATTCAGATTAAATCTGGTGTATTACAAGCACCTTATTTATATGTTCAAAGCACAAGGCAAAACTGAACACAACAACAGTACCTCGAAAAAAAGTGTAAATGACCTGTGCAGTAACATATTTGTTTCCGGTAAATTGAATTACCAAGATGAAAAAATTTAACGAGACTCCATTCGCAGATTTAAAAAACTTTTCCGATTATCAATACCTTCTTACGCTAATAGCTTTGCTTTCTAAGCGTGTTTTTCCCCAACAAATTTAGTATTAAATTCTTTGACAAGTTGTATTTATTTTAAAATAATCTTTGATGTTGTCAAAAAACCATTCAGTTTTCTTTTTAAATCGAGTTGGCGACCAAGGCTTATTATGTATTAGGATTTCACTGAGAAATTTTTTTAATATTTGTCTCTTGAAGAGACCTACTGAAATAATTACGTACTTGGATTTAATTAATTGGCTAAGAGACCTGATTAACCCAGCATTTACACATACAAGTTACTTGCAAGCAAGTTTGTATAATATTAATTGTCAATTAGTTTTTCGAAATGTCAAATTACTTGCTATTATGACGTAGGCGTTTAGCAAGTTAATTTTTGAAAATGTCTTTGAGAAGAAAACAACTAGCAATATATATAATTGTTTATAAATTTTAGAAACCATAAGTTTGCTAAGTTTAATTTTTTCAAAACAAAATTCAAAAATTTTAAATTAAAAAAAAAAAAAAAATCAAAACAACAAATTTTTTTTTGTGAATTTCTCAATATGTCAAATTACTTGCTCAAATTACTGGCAGCAAAATTTTCTTGCAAGTTGAACTGCAAGTAAACAAGCAAGTAGAAATATTTCAATGTGTTAGTAAAATTTTTGTATGTATTGCAACTTTCTTGCAAGTAACTTGTACGTGTAAATGCTGGGTAATAATCATGCAACAGAAATATTGTATTACCGTAATAGAATGATCGAAGAAACAAAACTCTCGTATTTCTTATTATCAATATCTTGTATGTTTTATTATTATTATCGTTTTTCATACTTATTATTGTACTGGAGCATTTCATTATTCGCAGTTACTTTAAATTTGATATTCCGCATTTCTTTTTTGGCGAAAACCTATTAAAAATAAATTAGCTTATTTCATTTGGTTTTTTGGAACAGCCATCATTACATTGCTTAACGTTAAAAGAGTCATAGGGTATCTGCCTGACAGATGGCAATCTTGATATATATTTTGGTTGTCATTAGATATGTCACTTATTTATGTTTCTCTTTGCTTTGCTTGCCTATTTCTAAACTTGTGTGAAATAATAATTTAGTACTGTTTCTTTTATTTTAAGTACTTAATCGGCTTTTTGTGTTCTTAATTTAGGTTTATTTTTTCTTTTTATCCGTATTCATATACATCAGTAAATTGTAAGTAGCTAATATATAGATATACATATAAAGAAAAGTAATGATATGAATGTGTGTACATTGAACAAAAAAATAAAAAACAATTTCTGAATAATTTTTAATATTGCAAAAATTTAATACATAAAATATAAAATGATAAAAAAATTCTCATTAGTTACATATAACTTTCAGAGAAAGTTCTATTTTTCGTAAAATTGAGTCTGATTGAAGAATTGGAATATAAAAAAATTTGATATTTATTATCATACAGTAGTAAACTCGTAAAGTGAAATTATACATATGTACATATTATGTATGTATATTATGTACATATATATGTAGGTTATATGTAACTAGTCTGCCAACACAATTTTGTAAAGAAAAGTGATGTGAAATTAAACAATATGGATGTCTTAAAAAATGCACCTACCCATTTCATTTACATTTTAATTAAGGAATGAGATTTATTTTGATTTCAAATAACTATTAACAGTTAAATTAGTTTTCCAACATGTGAAATTATTACTTTATAGTGAAACATTGTGTCAAAGCTTATAAACTTTTATATTATACATAGTATTGTTACCTATAATTTTGGCTGAACAATTTACAAAGATACAACATTATATAGGGACCTACCATTTCCATTGCATGTGTTATTTTATTTTATGGTGATATTAAAGAAAAATGGAATGGCTATGAATATCAATAATTTAAGAAAAAAATGCAAAATTAACGCGCACGAGATACTGACATTATCTTCCCAGAGCAATTTAGATCTTTTATTTACATAAGTTTAGTAATATCACGAATGATGATATGTGATTTAATTTTATCGCTATAATATGCAAATACATTGATATGTACATATGCTTACATTGTTATTTTACCTATTAGGACTAGGTGGATCTTATATGTATATACATGTATCTGTCTAAATACGTTCGCTGCAATAGCCATAACGCAAGTTCTGATATTTGTTAAGACTTAACAATTTCTAACATTTTCGAAGAAGAACGCATTTTCTTATACGAAACTTGAAAATAAAGAAGATGTAAAAATCTATTAAGTATTTACCTATATAAAAAAAGTTAACATTTTTAATTATTAAATATAAATATAACACAATGCAAATATAACATGAAACTTTTCAATTAATTAAATTAACTTTCATTAACATTTTCAAAATATTTTATGGCTAATTTTTTGTTAAATCAAGAGAATAATATAAAGTTTCTGTGGTTTTAAAATTACCGACAATTGTAATGTAGAAAGAGACATAGCCCAGAAATTTAAATAGGTAGCTAGATCAGCTAGGTCTTCTATTTTCAGAGAATCAATTAAGCATATCTGGGATCTACCATGTGTTTGATTACTTAAGAATTTTTAAATTTAAGATATGTATACTTAGCAATTAATGACGTTTAACTTGTTTCAAATCTTTTAAAATCTATTCTTTTGTGAACTCTATATTGAATACTTACCTATTTTGTTGCTATTAAATTACACTCTTTAGATAAGAAGCGAGATGCATAATTAAATTTATTTAATGTTATGTTTATGTATTTTGTATACCGCGGTGTTATAGCACAATATGTAAATTTTTAATTTTTAATACTACATAAACGAAGAAATTTTAAAAATTCTAATACAAGCAGAGTACATGCACCCACATAATATAAGGTTAATTTTAGTCACTCATAAAATCCTTGAAAATTATTGATATTTTGCCTATGCTCATAGTTATTTTTTAAACAAAAATATATTTTTTTGTTGTGTATTAGCTTGCTTTAGATGATTTATTAATAAATTTAGAGAAGATTTATAAATTTCACATTTCAAGGGAAAAAATAAAATAAATATTAAATGAGAAATTCTATAAGAAAAATGGTTATATTGTTCCAGGCATTATTTCGTATGTTCTACAGTAATATGCGTGCATGTACATCGGTGCATTAAGAGCAAAATGTTTTATAACAATATTAATAATTTTAATTAATGTAAAATAAAAAACAATAACCAACTATGAACATATTTAAATTTAATTTAGGCAGGTTTAATTTACCAATAGTTATTGAAATTTCCCAAAATTTCAGTATGTACCTTACCTAATTAATTTTTTTCGTACAATTTTATACCTATTGTAAAGTTGCGATTTACGATAATTATTCAGATTATTTCGTTATCAAGCGTTTATCTTTTTATCATCTTAATTAATATTTTGTTTTATTTCTACACAGTTCTAAATATAATATTAATTATGAAAGAATATTTTTAACAGTGAAAGCTTTTCTTATAATTAATAATTACATTAATACGAGGGTATAAACAAAAAAAATTAAAAAAAAAAACGAGCAATATAAAATTGCGCCATCAATAATTTATGTCTTTACTTTATTTTCTTATTTTTATTTACATACATATGTATGTACATATGTACATATTAAAGTGGTAGATTCGAGTTTTTAATTTTTCACTAATTGAAATATATTGTCCGCAAAAATACAGCATCAACTTAAAGTTTATGCCCAAAAAATATAAATGGGTTATAAATACCCCAACGAACACAGGAAGTCAATAACGTAATATTCTAATCGTAAAGTAAGTTCCTGCTGTTAACATTACATATATGTACGTGCTGATACGAAGTAATTATGAACAAAAAGATATTAAGTACCTAAGTATATGATATTAAAACCATTTTTTTATGTTCGTACCGTGAAACCTTTCGAAATTTTTTATATTGCATGCACCTTTACCATAAAATTAAGGACAAATTATTGTTGTCAATAAATTTGTTTTAATAAATCAACAAACGCAGTATAAAAATTTAACTAGTTAAAAATAATTAAAAAAAAAGTTATTTTTTACATTAATTTAATTACCAACAAACAGAAAATGGACATTCATAATTATATATAAGTATAACAAAAATATCTCAATCAAACAGCTACAATTATTACGATTAACAAATATTTAACGATTACAAAAGAAGTAACTACTTTTTAAATATCATATTAACGTTGTCAAAATTTGACCAATGCTATTTAAGTATATTAAATTTTTAATTTTGAAAATAATATTTTTAAATTATTAATTTTGAAATATCCAATTGAAAACATTAATTGTCTGATATTTCATATTTGATATATAAGATGATAATACATAATTTATCTTATATCATATTTTTGTCTTTGCGCTTATTTGATTTCAATGGAAGAGACGTTGACAATATTAGTGATCGTTAAGACAATTGGTGATAGCAAGCCATTTAGTTACTCATTTAGTTGCGATAACAAGCCATTTAGTATAATAATTGCATAATATTCTTAAGATTCAAATGAACTTTGCATAAAAGGGAAATGTTGGTGGGTACATGATTTAAGCAGAATATGTAAGCTATTTTAGTAGAAGTACTTACGGTTCTGGTATTTTCCGTATTAAAATATTTAGGTATATTTAAAGAAAAATCTTAATTTGCTAAAAAAAATTAAAAAAAAAATTATCAAGCTAAGCATGAAACTATAATGAAATATTCATTTAACCGAATAAAATTTCGGGTATTTTACAAATACACCAAGTGTGTATTTGTATTTTAGAGAAACGCTAACTCTTTTTATTTTTTAATTTGATTGTATATAGTTTTTTTCTCTAACTAATTTTTTATGAACTTGATTTTTGACCTAGTTTTAAAATGATAATGAATTTGTTTGTTTTTGAACTTTTCATTTTTATATTTTTGTTTCTTTCATCAAATCAAATTTAAAATTTGAATATAAAATACCTGACTGTGATTAAAAAATTTTAAAATTGAGTTGATAAGATTATAAAAACCAAGATTAATTCCTTATAGAATTAATATAGCCAACAGAATTATTGGGACATTAATAGTTATTTAATAAACACTATTTTATTTAATTGCGATGAATAAAATTCGCTATTCAAAAACAACATTCTACGATGATTTTTAAATATTAGGAAATTTATAATTTTGTTTTGTTGTTTTGTCAGGTTTAAGGAACTGCATCTTTACTACGGGCAGATTTTACTATTTGGACTATTTTTAAGAAAATAATCAGCGCATTTTGCTAAAATTTTATACATAAGTTGCAAACAACTGGATTTTGCGTATATTTCATAATTTTTATCATATTATCTAAGGAACTACTATACGGAGTTTCTTGAAATTTATTATTTGAGTTCTGTTTGCTACCCGAAATAATTGTGGGACATTTTAGGGAATTCGAAAAGATTTAGTAAATCTTTAATGAGAGCCAAATTTACGTTTTTTAAAGTATGTTATCAAAAAGCGCACCAGAGTCTTAAAATTTGGAAAAAGCATTCAAAGATTCAATAGCTGTGGCAGACTTTATTTTATTTTGAAGTTAGGATCTTTGTGCTACACCTTGTCTAGCGCCTATGGTATATATCTAAAAAGGCACTTTAGAAATATTTCTCCTTTTTTACGTTGCTTGTCTATATCTAATCGATAACGGACTGCTTGTTAGATACTTTAATTTTGATTTGATAAATTTTATTTAAATTATTCATGCTTTTATTAGTTTTTAAAAAAATTTTATTTCTCAATTTTATCCTTTGCAATTCGTAGTACATTATGTATTTTAGTTAAATTCATTTCATAATTTTTCCTTCCGAAAAAATATTTATAATTTTGTGGTTAGTTTTCCATTTGATTCGTTCCAAATTAAATTTTCTTATAATAAAAATTTAATATTATGTATGTAATGTATTTAATGCAACATTTGTACTAAGCCTATTAATACTATATAAATATGAAAGTATCAACTGAAATTACACAATTAAATTTTAAAATTATTTTCAATTTATTTCAAATTTAATATTAATTGAAAATGATTGAATCTTGTCACAAACAAATAAATTTCAATAAATTTGCGTGTTTTCTATACTTTTTTATATTACAATAAAAGCAAGACAAAAAAAAACAATAAAAAATATATACATATTTAGTTTCCGATATACTTAATACAAATAAACTCATA